GTTGTCCGTTATTATTAAAAATGATTTGATGGTCCTTCAGGTACATCGCCAAAGATTCTAAAAGAGGTAAAAATGCACAATTGTGGTGCTTTGCATGTTTAACATGTTAAATATTGTAACTGGGAATAAAAAGAATGAACTTCAAGGAAAATAAGAGAATCGTGTGAGGCTGTGGCCTCCCTAGACTAGCCACAGCCTCTCCTGTGTGTCTCTACAATGCAGCATTTTTCCCATGGAAAGTGCTTGTTTCGTTTGTTGATCCTTTTCGGTAAAGCACGTGTCTTATGAGAGCACGTCGTTTATCACTTTTCCCGGTGTATTTTCCCCCAGTGCGTACACAGCGCAGTGCCTTGGCACGTGTCAGTGCTGTATGAATGATTTGTTCAAGGCTCAAAGGAGGAGATAGAGGTGGTCAGTGATTATAGTAGCAATCTGCTTAGAAGGCTAATTCAGACAGGTTGTCTACTCTGCTGGTGTCGTGTGTGTGCGTGTGCGAGGTACGTGTGCGCACTGCTCAGGCCCAAGGCTGGCCTTTCTACAGGCTGGCCAGCCACCCCCCTGCCTTTGCAGACCACAGAGGTACAAATGAATGTTGGTGTTAGTAGAAGTTAGACACGATTCAGAACACTGGGATAAAATAGACACACAGCAAAATATAAAGATCTCTTAGGATCTACAGGAGTTATCTGTAGTTCTGCTGAGCCCTGTTGTTAAGCAGACACTTTCACTTTCGTATAAACGGTAAGCTGGATGATACATGTGGGAGAAAGATCAGAGCTGCTCACGGTGGTGGGGGAGGGGGTGGTGCCAGTTTGCAATGGAGAGACTTTCCTCTGAGAATCAGTCTGTCGGTGCTTTGAAATGCTGGTTCAGTTTCGGAGGCCAGGTATCTGCCTGGGTGAGGCTCAAGGAAGAGATCTGGAGAGCAGCCAGGGTTGCTAATATTAAGAGCTTGCAAAACCAGCAAGGCCAATCCCTGATCAACTCACCACTTCATAAAGAGCCAAAATAGAGGCTCTAGAACAGACACAATGTTACTCAGCTTGCTGACACCAGCCAGTGCTTGTGCTGCGGGGTTCTACCCCAGCCTTGAGCTCCAGAGAATCATGGGGCCTTGTAATTAAATGATGTGGGCCCACGAACATCTGTTGCTATTGCAGAGTCTTCGTGAGCAATTCCCAGACAAAAAGAAGCCATTGCTACAAATAGTGCAGCTGCGTGAGCAGGGTAGGGGAAGGGGAGGGATGGGTGAGGGGCTTCTGTGGGACATAAAGGTGAAACATTCTTCCAAAAAGGCCCAGAACCCTTGCTGAATTCTCTCTGCAGGTAGAATGAAAGAAAGATAACAAGGTATTTTTTGTGAGTTCACTTGAACTGATGAAATAAGTGGACGTTTGGATTTTTGCTTAGTAAATGCGTCCATCCTTCATATTTTGTTCAGCTCTGGGTGAGAATAAGCTGCCTTTGCCGCATGTGAGATCCCTCCCCCCAGGCACACACCCCTTTCAGTAATCATAGCAGATGGTGAATTCTGTGGCTGCCAGTTCTACCATAATGTGCTTGCAGAAAATAGCAAGCCAGGCAACATGAAGACCCCTGATAGAACACAGCTGGGGTTGGGAGACAGCTTCTGAATCGGCGGGCGAGGACTCTGGGGTGGTGGAAAGGCCCATAGCTAGACCGCAGACACCGGTTACTTGCCTGTTAGAATAACACTGCGGTGTGGAGACCTGTTATTAACCAAAGCCGGTCTCCCAGCATCTTAAGAGCAGAGAGCAAGGGTATAGAATCTTAGTTTGCGGGGGTTGATGTAAGCCTGCCTAACGTTTCCGTGTGTGGATCGTGACCAGTAAACGGTCGCTGCGTTGGTGGCTCATGGGCGATGTCAGCTGGTGGCCTTTTTCAGGTCTGAGTAGACAGAGTGCCCTCCTGTTTGAGAATGCTCACTTCACTTCTTTGTCAGCCAAAGTCTCGGAAAACTCCGGCCATTTGATTTAAGTGCGAGTGAAATTAACCTCTAACTCTTTCAGGTGAAGCTCTGAGAGGTTTATAGAAGAATCCAAGTGACATGAAGGAGGGAGCAGCACTCCCCAGCACCAGCTCTTAGCTAAAGACAGTTTTTCACAGGGCATCTTGTACCTTTCAGAAATGCCGGACAGTGGAAACATGAAATTAATTTGAAAGAAAACACCAGATACGTTTTATTGGGCAATCATAACTCAGGAGTCTAATCACAAACAATGTTTCTTTTTGTGCTTTACTGTGCATTGTTGGAGGTGGGGTGGGCAGACTCGCAGGCTGGTTGGGGAAATACAGAACAGACAGAAGCCACATTCTAGAAAACAGGGGGAACATTCCTGAGACAACTGGCTGGCAGCATCATAAAACTAAGTTTCGAACAGTGTACTGCATACTGCAGGACGTAACGAAGCTTATTTGAGAATCCAGAACTCTGGTTTTTAGAATTTTAAGCACTCCCCAAAATACATGCAGTTAATTTGTTAAGTTGAAACTAGAAACTGTATTAGACATTTTTTTATAGAGGATAGATTTTTACAAGAAAGCCTCAATAAAAAAATACAGTAGTCGCCCCCTTATATGCAGTTTTAGTTACCCACAGTCAACCAAGGCCTGCAAATATTAAATGGAAAATTTCAGAACTAAACGAGTCCCAGCTTTTAAACTGTGTGCCATGCCGAGTAGCACAATGCGGTCTTCCGATGTCCGGCTCCATCCTGCCTGGGCTGGTAGTCAGCCCTTTGTCTAGCATGAGTGTGCTGGGTATGCTGCCCACACAGTGGTTACTCAGTGGTTCTCCCATTCATCAGACGGGTCATCAGAGATTTTGAGCGGGGGTGCGGGGGAGTGGGGGGAAGACGCATACTACATTAATATAACTTTTACTACAGTATATTATAATTGTTCTATTTTATTATTATTAAACACAATTTATATAGGGTTCATTAGTATCAGCAGTTCGAGGCATCCACTGGGGGTCCTGGTGTGTGTCCCCCATGAGTAAGGGGGGACTGCTGTGTGCCTTCTGCTTTGTGATCTGGCCCAGCCCGACCCCTCTCGTGGGTGGTCTAAGTCAGCATGCAGTAAACAGCTTTGCTGAGGTAGCACTGTGTACTTGTTTCACCCACTAGAGTCAGAACAGGGCTGCCCGTGTGGTTTTTTAAAGTTTGAGCTCTGGAGAAACTAAAGAGGAAAACTGAGCCATTTGCTTCTTAACATTTCCTTTCTTTTAAAAATATTTTTAAAGCACAGAAAAGGGCAGAGACTACTATAAGAAATAAGTAAAATTAACTCATTTTTTAAAAAATTTGAAAATAAAAAGAATACTGTAGAAAAAATTGTTGAATATCACCTCTGTCACTTAGTCATAGCTCCCTCCCCTCCCTGTCTTTTGTCGTAAATTCCGTCTGTATATCTTTCTATTTCGTGTTCCTGTGTTTTTATATATACCACATGTATCACGAAATATACATTTATAATGTAAGTATATCTAGTGTGTGTTAAGATATCATTTGGTGTATATTCTACAACTCTTCACTAAACACCGTGGTTTTGAGGTTTACCTATGCTGATACACAGAGCCCTAGGTCATTCTCCACTGCTGTTTTGCAGTGTATTTCATGACTGTACCGTGAGTTGTTATTACTGCAGATGCTCAACGTATTTGTATAGATCATGTTGTATGCACAACTGGAGATTCTAGTGGGGGTAGCGGAACTGCTGAGTCACACACAAGGTGTGGGCACTGTCAGCTTCGATGGTTTACTTTCACAGTACCTGGGTGCCTGTTGACACCCGCCAGCAGTCGGGAGTTGCCAGCTCCTGACAGCAGACTGTTGCAGTTTTTGCCAGCCTATCAGATGAGAATATCTCACTCTTTTCATTTGGGTTTTTCACATCATCTGTGGCATCATTATTTTTTAGCCGTAGAAAGTTGAAGATATCCAAAGGCATGAAATCCCAATATATTTATCTAGCATGGTCGGATTAAAATACAATTTAAAGTTGTGTTTTCTTCAGAGGGTCCTATTAGTATACTATTCCACAAAATTAAGATTTTAATGATCACTCTAATAGCTAAAATCACTTTTTAAAGTTTTAGACATTTTGGATGAAAAATCTTTCTAAAAGTGTTATACTTTCCTGTTTTGTGAAATTCAGGGTAAATTGAATTCAGTTCTCATAATGAACATTCGGCTTTTAAAAATTTCATTAATACCTTCAGGGTGCGTAGCAGTACTAAAACTTGTTTCCATACCCGATATCCTACAAAGTCCTCGTGCTTTAATAGTTAATTTTTTGCCTTTTATGGTCTTACCTCCTAAAGTCTCTTTTGGTGAGTCCTCCCAATTTTAAGATGAAAAATCTATTTATGTAATTGATACCTGCTTATTGCAGAGTAGTTTATCTTCTTTCCCGTGAAATTGCTACCTTCCTTTATTTAGAACTGTAAGGATACAAGAATGGTTTGTGTGTTGTTGGTTTTTTTCCTTGAGTAAGAGAGTGTGTGGAGCACGCGGCAGCAGTTCGTCTTCCTGTCGTGGTCACTTCCTGTCGTGGTCACTGCCGGTTGCACACCAGGCGGTGTTCTGGATATTTGAAATCATCCAGTCTCGTAGAGTTTGACCTGCGGATGAGTGGGGTGTTCACTGTATGTGCAAAATACCTACTTAAAAAGGGGCACACATATTGTCTTAAAGAATGAATATATTTTAACTGAAGGACGGTAAATGGGTCTGTTACTGAGCAGTAAGGTGACTCATTGGTCATCTTAGAAGGTCCGAGAAAACCAAGCAGACCCAATGGTACAAATACCAGGCTGGGTGAGCAGTAAAAATACCACGTGATCAGGAATGCTTTTTTTTAAAGGTTTCTAATTTTTTGTTTTCTTTTCGTAATATTGGTGGTGTTTGTAAGTTTGCTTTTTCTCGTCTTTCCAAATGATGATACAAACTCAGTGTTTTCATTTTTTCTCATTTCAGTGTGACAAAATTAGGCAAGAGCGCGATGAAGCTGTTAGAAAATTGGAGGAATTTCAGAAAAGTACGTAAGCATTTCAGTGGATGTTATAACATGCAAAGCTATGTGTGGGGATTCTGGGGGTAGACGTGCCCCCTCTTTATTACTGATGCATCGGGCATGCAAGAAAGCAAGAATTGTCTTCTCATTTGTCCCCCAGATACGCTGGTATTACTGGCATTTTTAAAGAAATGGAATGAGCATTATTGTTTTATGAGTGTGTTACTATAAAAGACAGTTTGTACTTGCTATAAAAGATTTTATTATACAGAACAGTGAAAAGAGAACAAAAATTACTTGTTATCTTGGCTTTTTGAGCAAAGTCAATGTTAGTATTTTGTAGTCTTTCCTTCCTGGTCTTTTATCTGTAATATGTGTATCTACAAAAAAAAAATACAATCATACTTTGCATTTAGTTTTGCAGCTTGCTTTCTTCGTAAACAATATGTTATGGTCATCTTTGTCAGTAGAGATGTGTGTTAGTTCTCATCGTTGCCCATAGTATTCTGTTACATGGTAGTGCCATAATTTATCCCAGTGTTTCTTCACCGATAGATGGGTTATTTCTGGGTTTTAGTTACTATAAACAATGCCACGGCAAGTATTGTTATACATACATCTTTATAGTGGTCTGCTTAGTTCTTTAATTTAAAGAAAAGGAACTCTAGGTATAGAACGTACACAATTTTTAAAGTTTGAATGTTTGAAATAGCCCTCTCACCAAGGAAAGTTACAGTCCTGCGAAAGTTGTAATATCTTCTCTGGATTTTTGCTGTGCATTTTTTATGTGATGTAAGTTTGTCGATGCTCTGTCCCCTAAGATAGGACGTATCTGACGACACTCAGAAGGATCAGAAGGAACTATGTCATGGGAAAAGGGCCAGACCTTAGCAGGGAAAGTGACCCACCCCCTTGGGAGCGGGGCCTTTCTGCCCTGTTCTGCAAGTGCTGTATTAGCCAGGCTGTTTGATCGTATCATACAGTGTTCACTTGGTAGCTGCACAACAAAAGACTTGATTCTTGTGTAAGCTATAAAAGTGAAGCATGATCGTTAAATTTCAATGGCCAGTTTATTTCACGAGTCCGGCTGTGACAAAGGAAATCTGAGGGGAGCGCTGTTGATATCACCTATCTCTGGGGGCCGATATGCTGCGACCAAAGTGTCTCCTGTTTATGAATGTAGGAATTCTGGTCTCGGAGGATCTTCTCCGTCCCCAGAGCAGGAGCCACAGGATGTCCTTGTGCTTGTGCTGGCAGCCGAGTGGCCTCTGAGAGAGTGGCACATCGACATTGTGACCGGTCACCGTGCCGAGTTCCTTACTGACAGCGGATGGGCCACTGTGTGCGGTGGGGGCAGTCCCAGTGGGGCTTCCTTAGTGGGGACGAAGAGAGCTTTAAGTGTTTTTTAAAAAATTTTATCTGTGGTTCACGACCTTCAAACACAGGGTAGACCGTCAGCTTTGGAGGGGAGCGAGGCAGTTACGTCACCAGTGAAAAGCATTGTTCGGTGCGAATCCAGGCAACCCAGAGCAGTGTCTGCAGCAGGAAAGTCTGGGCAAGTGACCCTGACTTGTAGGCTGTTCGAGGACGAAACGAGATGCCCGCGTGAAAGGCGCTGGTGAGCGCAGCGCCTGGCATTACCGTCAGCGTCCCTGGAGCGCTGGTTGCTGCCGCCACCATCACCGTTGCTGCGCCGTCCGGCGCTCGACTGCCCTCCGGTATGGAGGTCACGTATCACTTGCCTTTCGTGAGTTAGTTTCCAGACACCAGCCTCCACCCACCTTGGGACGGCTCTCGGGGAAGGGATCTTTTCGTGCTGAGTTGAAGCTGGACCCCCCGTGATGTTTACCTGCTGGGAAGAGCATGCTTTTCCCAGCTGGTTTTGCCCATACGGAGGTGGGCAAAAGTAGGCTTGCAGTTTTTGTATGGAAAAAGACATGCAGGCTGAGATCATTACAACAGCTTTATTAACTCAAGATGTTACAGCCGCAAACCGTCTGCCCACTGTGTAGTTCCGTGCCATTCTTGGCTCTGTCCCAGGTCTTCGTGAGCCTTTCCCCTGTGTTTCTGCACAAAAACCTCTACACAGCAGAGCCGGGCTCCCTAGAAAGACAAGACTCCTGTGAACGTAGAAGTGGATACAGCCCTCCGAGGTCTGCACGCCGCAGCGTTCGGCTCTCTGCCCGGCGTGGGCACGCCAGTGTTCCCACACCTGCCAGCTTTCACGGCTGTCTTCTCACTACGAGGAAGGCCTCTCTCTGTAACCTGGTGTTGCAAAAGAACTTACGATACATCATTCATCACATACTCTTTACAGGCGTCCTGGCATTGAAGCGTTGCCGAGAGTCGGCTGGAGGGAGAGGTGTTTCTGCTCAGGAAGCAACGTCACTGGTGGTGTCACCTTTAAATATGACAAATCAGAAGGGGGCGTAGAAACTGGAGTCACCTAGAAATAGTTTGGCTGGGCTTTACCAGTTAGAGCTCTCATTTGGGGTACATGCTTGACCTAACTCCTCTGGGCCTCGGTGTCCTGAGATATAAAGTCGCTGTGAAAACACCCACCTCGCGGGAGGGCCGTGAGGGTGCGAGAGAGCACACGTGAGGGCTTTAGCACGCGGCCGATCGCAGCTGGCTCTGTGAGAGGTGGTGGTGGTGGTGGTTTCCTAAGCGATTCTCCATGACGGAGAACGTATTTGTAAAAAGGTGTTCACAGAGGAACTTAGCCAGACACATGTGTTTTCCCAGTCACTCAGACAAACACAGACATGACCACCGGCTTTGTGGATGGCAGTGTGCTAACTGCAAGAGGTTCAGACGTGAGTAAAACGAATCTCTGCTCTAATGCTCACAGGTAGCAGAAGACCAAAACAGCAAACAAACAAACAACAACCCAGTTACCCCGCAGTGCCATGCATTCTACAATAGCAAGTGTGTGAGAGTGTTTTGGGGTCATTGAAAGGGTCAGAAAAACTTTGCTGATTCCACTCGACTGATAGAAACAATAATTGGTATTTTTTTAGGACATACTTTGATGTATTCAGAATCATTAAAAAACTTCTATTATGGAAAATTTCAAGCTCATACAAAAGTGAGAAGACGGTGTAATGAACCGTCTTGTTCCCAGCATACAACTTCAACGGTCACCAACTCAAGGCCAATACTCCCCTCCTACACCTCCACACACCCACCCACACTGACCCCACATTGTTTTGGAACTAATTCCAGCCACCGTATCATTTCATTTGTAAATATTTCGGTGTGGATTTTTGAATACTAGGATTGTTAAAGACATAACTGTACTAATAGGGTCATTTTATTTAAAGCTCATCCTTTTTCTTGCTTTTAACCTTCATGGTATCCAAGTTAGAGGCATTTTAGATGCACTGGTCATGGATTGTTGGGTATTGTGGGACACGCCCAAATTTTAGGACTATGAGAAAATCATTAAATGAGCAATTAAAGGTTTTTAAAAACATTTGTCCTTTGAAAGGGACAAATATATTTGTGTATTTTAAAAAATTCTGTTTTGTGTCATGTGACCTGACTTTTGGTGTCGGAAATGAGGTCACGCTTCTTGAAGGTATAAATGTTCTTTGGAATATGCGCTTCCATTTTGGATCTAGGAAGTTGGTGAGTAGGGTTCTATGATACCAATTTAGCATTGGGGCAACTTTTTTAAAAAGATTTTATTTATTTATTTTTAGAGCAAGGGGAAGACAGGGAGAGAAGCATCAAATGTGTGGTTGCCTCTCGCATGACCCCAGTTGGGGACCTGGCCCAAAACCCAAGCATGTGCTCCGACTAGGAATCGAACCGGTGACTCTGGTTTGCAGGCCAGCACTCAGTCCACTGAGCCACACCAGCCAGGACTGGGGTCATTTATTTGTACTAAAAACTAAAGCACAATTTTTAATTTCTACTATTCTCACTTAGAGGAGGAAATAAAAATCCTGCATGATGGGGTATTCTGTATCAGAATTGGAGAAAATGTGGGGTAGTGCTACCTAGCTAACTTTATCAAGTTAAATTATAGGGAAGCTTTTTACAAAATGTTTAGAAAATAAGTGGGTTTCTTTCTCCTTTTGCTAGGCTTAAACCTTACTACTGTGGAATAATTTTTCTTACTCTCCCGTGAGCAAGAATGTTATCGAATAAAAAGTCAAATTCCTATGAAAAATGCAGAGTGTTTATGTTTTTGTTATGATGGTGGAAATACCAGATTGTGGCAGAAGGTGTCAAGTAGTTAAGGCTAAAAATTCAAAGTAATATTTGATGTTGTAAAAATTGTATAGGTTTCTTTTCTCTTTCCTTCACATTTTTGAAGAACCTACCTTGTAAATATAGTGATAAAGTGCCAGGAATATTAGGATTTTAAGGAAATAATAGAGCCTATTATTTAAACTACAATATAAAAGGCAATTATATTGATGAAGAGCTACATGGGCTTTGTGTGTGTGAATAAACTTGGTCTGTGTTCAGCTTCTATTTGTTCTTCTGGCATAAACACATATTGTGTGTGATTCCAGTTTAATGGGGACCCGTTTGTATGCCAAGCAGCTGCATTTTAGGACCTATTGCGTGATTTCATAGCTCTCTGAAAATTGGTTCTATTCAGAACCAGAGATAGAAGAGGAGAAGGGGGGTGGCGTGGAGGGGGGAGGGGGAGAGCTTCAACACACAATCATTTCTTTTCAATTGGAGCCAGAAAGGTTGATGACAACATGACCATTGTGTTATAATGGTCAGACCACTAAGGCATCTGTACCTCTCATCAAGGCTTTCACACAACAGCAGATACAATTTAATTCACTGCTCTGTCAGCAGTGCTGATACCATTATGCCGTCTGTCTCCACAGTTATAATCACTGTCGTCTGAGAAATGCAGTTGAAATGATCTCGAGCAGTCAAAGAAACTCTCAATTAAGGCTGCCACTTCCAATGTGTCAGATTGTGTCTTATGCACTTGGTACAATTTTCACTTCCAATCCTGTTTATTTACAATGTCTACCAGTAATTACGCTTAACGTGTCATTTAGTGAGGGGGGCCCCTGCCAAGCCGATTGTTGGGTGCTGCTGTACCATTGAGTGGGAGTTTCTCAAAGTCAATGCCATCAGCAGCTTTTAGGCCCTGATGGGATGCAGTAGTAATGTTGATAATGCAAGTATCGTGCTCATCAAGTCATAATTAGATGCCACTCAAATGTGCCACTTGTAATAACAGTGTTGGTTCATGTTTTTCTCGGTGACTGCAACTACTAATTAGTTAAGTGGTTTTTGGTTGGCCTGCGTTTGCCGCAGATTATTATTACCCCTGAAAAAATGTCAAGGTTAGAGATGTTTCTGGCCATTTAGTGCTGCTTTATGAATTTGAATATTAACATAATAAGAACTTTGGACAGACTTAGGAAGTAATACATTTTTGTATTTAATTCGCAGAGAAATTTTTTCCCCTGAGTTTAATCATAATTGTAGGTTAATTAAGCTTAAATGAAGCAAAAGTAATCTCTCTTTGTGCTACGTGAGCCCAGTGCTTTTTGCCTAACTTTGCTGGCTTTCACGTTTGGGCACCCTTAATGTTCCTGTGTTGTAAGCCCAGCCAATGTCAGTCACTATACATGTCTGCAGTTAAGTAAGTTTGAGATGGTGAGCGTTTTCTTTCAACTGGAAATACGGGTGAGAGGCATTGCGTTTTTCTTACTTGATTTACAAAGTTCCAAATTACTTTGTACCTTTACATCTCAATTTATATAAACCAGTTGCCCCCCAAAATCTGAAAAATTACTATTTTTCAAGCATTGGCAAAGTATCAGGTAAAATTTACTTTTCCTAATCTTCCTGACAGTCTGGGATGCAACTTCCTAGCATCTGTTTTCATCATAATGTAGTACAAAAATCATGCTGCTGTGCTTCTTGGTCCTACTAAATAGGAAGTTTATTAAACAATAGTAAACTCCCCTCTGTCACTAATAAAGAAGACTATTGCTAAACCCACTGGCTAAGCTGCCTGCCACATTGTTACTGCTGTTTTCAGAGGTCAAGATTTAGTTTTTAAACATTTTTCTTTAGCTAATTTTCCTTATTAGATCCATCTGTTATATCCTGCCAAACAAAGGACATCATGTTTGTCACTTTTTATTTGTGAGAGGTTCTTTTGTTTAATTTAGTGGTCATCTGTACAGCTCCATAGAAAATACACAGTTAAAAGTTCTCCTAAATAGCTTTCTTAAAATATGTGCGATAGCCATAAAAGTTCTTCGTTGTGTTCTTTTTTTTCTTTCTTTGTTTCAAATATTAGCTAAGATTTAATCGGGGCAGTATCTGAAACACTTTTTTTCATGATCACGGAAGGTCTGGCCGGCCGAAGAATTGAGTGTTCCTAATCATGGGACCAATGTGTGGGCTTCTGGAGGAACTGACTAATCTTTGAATACTGAGACTTTTTTTTTCTCTCATTCCTAGTTTCTCACATGGTTATAGAGGAAGTTAATTTCATGCAGAACCATCTTGAAATAGAGAAGACTTGTCGAGAAAGTGCTGAAGCTTTGGCAACAAAGGTGAGACTCTTCCAAGTAAGGAAATCCTACCTGAGCTTTTAAATTTCTACTTGCTTTTCTATCCAGTGGATTCTCTCCTCTTTTGGCTGTTTTAGTTCTCTAATCTGTCTTCTGCTCCGATGAGGAAAGAGTTGTAAGGTCTCGGAACTCTGGGATATGACCATGTAAATATCTGTCTTTGTGAAAAGATTATTTTTATTGTAAAAGGGCGCTTTTGTGTGTATTTCAGCATTTGTGCTTTTCGCCTCTGAAAAACAGCCCCAGAGCGATCTGTTGAACTGGACTTTCCCAGTGTCTCTGCATTTGGTTAAAATGCTCACCAAGTTTCAGGCTAACCTGTTGTGACAGAAAAGAACAGTGAGTGTTTTATATTGGAGCCAGATGAAAAAGTCAGCCTCAAGCCTTACAATTCAGGTGATTATTTGTGAAAGCAAAGTAAGGGCATGCGAAAGGTGACCTCCAGTGCTCCGCTGATTGCTTCTAGCTGATGAATTTACCAAGTGTGTAATTTTCTATACTCTGTCTCATCAGAAGTGCATTATTATTAAAGAATGTTTTTATCTCTGTCTTATGTATTTTGGGTTGGGTAAAATGCATCTGAACCATTTCATCAGAAAATGGATTACAGCAATTTTCACCCAAATTTCATTAGTAATGCTGGTTGCTTCTTTACCTACCTCTAAAGTATTCCTTTTCATGTGACTGAAATTCTACAAATCAATCTGTCTGTCATCTATCTATCTATCTATCTATCTCGTGTGCATTAACAGTATCTTGCTTGCTTAATTGTTTGCACGATGACACTGCATTAGAACTCATCAGACATGCAGTCAGAATCTAACTAAGACGATAAATACATGTATGTAACTTCTCTTCTGTTACTTGTTTAAAGAACACACAGCAATGCAGGCCATTGCTTTAAAAACAGTGATAGCATGGGTGCTCCCGTCCCGTCTCCGCCCGGCTGCACTCCACGGGCGTTCACTGGTCCATAGTAACGTGCGGATTCTCTCTTCACTTTCTTCATTTCTTCTTTTGGAGCAAGTAGGAAAAAACATATTCGGAACCTATGAGGTGCTCCAAATCTTGTAGTGTCTAAGAATAATCTCTGTATTTTCTCCCGTTATTAGTAAGTATTCCTGTTGCAATAGTACATCTAAACCAGGGGTGTCAAACTCATTTTCACCAGGCACCAGCCACATCAGCCTTGCGGTTGCCTTCAAAGGGCTGAAATAATTTTAGGACCACATACATGTAACTAATCCTTAACTGTTAAGGAGTTGAAATTACGTTCGGCCCTTTGAAGGCAACCCAAGGCTGATGTGGCTGGCGCCTGGTGAAAATGAGTTTGACACCCCTGATCTAAAGGAAGAATACTGACTATCTCTCAGGGCTGGCAAGGTTATGGAGATGGGTGGTTTGGGAGGCGGTAGATGCGGGTTTTATTCCTGGTTGTGTCATTTTAGCCATATGTGGCTTTGGGCACGTTACCTATGACCCCCATACTGCTGCCTCGTCTGAAATGACAGGAGGGTCTAGAGGTAGTCCTGGAATGAGAATGGGGCGGGCTTTTCTTTTTTCATTATGCACGTTCATCATTGATCCATGTGGTAATTTTAAAAATTATTTCATTTCCCTTCCCCCGTTTTAAACTTAACAGGTAACTTTGAATAAGAGAATGCGCCTCTCTGAGCTACAGCTGACTGGTCCTAAGTGTCAGGGTGGGGCAGGGTTGGCTTCTTAAGAGCACCCCAGATGCACCGACTCAGGGAGCATGGCCCAGGCACGGCTGTGTGGAAAAGCTGCCAGGTGACCGTCACGGCCGTCCCTGGATACGAACCATTGTGTGACTGATCTGTAGGGTCACTGTTGCAAGTGTTTTGACAACAGGATCCTTATGCAGTTTTTCATCTGTTCTTTAAGAAGCCTTTTTGAAAATGGACAAATGGTTGGTTTTTCAGGTTACACTGTGAACTCATAGGGATTGGCAGAAAAAAAACCCAAAATCTACTTAGTCAAACAGTGTAGACATTCTCATTGGATGCGGTAGATACCGCAGCTTTGAACGCAGTTTAGAAGCTTCATTGTGTGTGATCAGTAGAGGAGAGCGACACGTCCTGATTTAAGTGTCATTGTCATTTTGAAAGTAGGGTCCGTCTTCTAAGCAGCAGAGTTTCTTGTTTTTCTGAATTTTTGCTCTCAAATTAACGACAAACAGAATGTTTAATTCTTACAACACAGTTTGACCGCGTAATTTTCTTAAAAGCAAGTATGGATACTCGGCTTTGCCAAAATGTGTAGGCTAAATTGATAAATGTAAACCAGCTATTTAAGGCCAGATCTGTTTAACTTGTTATTTTGTATGTATCTTTAAATGACTGTTAAACTGTGTGCCATATAAAAAACTCCACTTAAATTTTAATATTGAAGATTTTGTTACTGTAGGGTTATAAGATTCATTTTTACCCTGTGATTTATTTTAGAATGGCTCCAAAAAAAGTAGCATGCTATTAACTTATATAACTTGATGAATGATAACTGCAGAGAAATAGCCAAAACTTGTGAATTCAGAGCTTTCAAAAGTGTTCAGTTAGTGTAGTCATAAGATCTTATGAATGTACCTTATATTTCCTCTTTCAAAATATTAAAGTAATATTTTAGAGAACATTTTTGAAATTTTTTGTCTGGCTTTTTTTTTTTTTTTTTTTTTTAGTTAGTAACTTGGTTAAATAGAGTAGTTGTATTATAGCCACAGACTAGCTGGTGGATTTTGATGACTGGTTTGGTAGAAGCATTACACTCTTGAGGGCAGAACTTCTGCTAGGTTATTGTGTATTACTGTGATGGGTGGCCTGGGAAGTAATGTATTCAGCACCAATTGGAAAAACTTAGTATTTTCATGACAATCCTGGAGGAAGAAAAGTTTAGAAGGACACTTTGGTTGAAGAAAATTAGCTGATAAAAGATTTCCAAAGGAAAATTAGATGCACAGACTAAAACTTTTGTTACTCTTAGTAGCTAACACTTACTGAATTTTTACTATACATCAGTCACTATATTAAATACTTTTTATGTAATATCTCATCCTTAATCTTCATATTATGGAATAGAGACTATTTTTATCCCTAGTTTGCTGCTGAGAAAACTGACACTGAAATATTAGGTCATTGGAGAAGCAGAGACAATTTGATTGTAGAGCTGGTTCTTAACTCTGGTGTACCGATTTTGTGGAAGTAAATACGCAGGCACTGCATCACACTACATCGGCGATTCTAATTACTATTGATGTACACTGGAATGACCTGGGGAGCTCTGAAGGCATCCTGTGCTGGGCCTTGCAGCCAGAGACTTGGGTCTGGCGAGGAGGGCTGTACACTGGGGTTTTTAAAACTCAGTAGAGATTCTGATGTGCCCAGTTGCAAACCATTGGATGTTAGGATGCAGCAGTACAAATAGCTTGTTACTTAAGATTTTTTATTTATTTATAGGGAGGGAAGGGAGGGAGGGAGAGAGAGGAGAGAGAGAGAGAGAGAAACATCAATGTGTGGTTGCTGTGGGTTATGGCCTGCAACCCAGGAATGTACCCTGGCTGGGAATTGAACCTGGGACACTTTGGTTCCCAGCCCGCGCTCAATCCACTGAGCTACGCCAGCCAGGGCTAAATTGTTACTTTTTTAAACACTCATAAAGAAATGGCATTGCTTGAGAATTGACGAGGATCTTTTTTTAAAAAAAAAAGACTTGACGTATTTTTAGAGAGAGGGGAAGGGAGGGAGGAAGAGAGGGAGAGAAACAGCGATGTGAGAGAGAAACACTGATTGGCTGCCTCTCGCACACGCCCCGACTGGCGGTGGAACCTGCACCCTGCACCCCAGCATGGGCCCTGACTGGAACCGACCCGGCCACCTTTTACCTGGTGGGACGATGCCCAGCGCGCTGAGCCACACCGGTGGGGACAGAATCGACGAGGATCTCTGAGTCTCTAGTGCTGTATGTGCCGTAGCATTCACGGCTCAGAGCCCACTCCGCCCCCCAGTGGTGTTCACCTGCACTCTCCGTTTTAAGGAGGAGGGGTTGGGCAGCCCTGGGCCTCTGTACCTTACTCCTGGTCTTCAGTGTAATCTGGGAGCTAGAAGCTGGAGGGCCGGGGCATGAAGGGCTGTGTCTTAGCCCTGAAAAGACCTCATCAGGCTTCCCAAGAGGAATCCGTGGAAGAATTCAGAGCCATTTCTTGGAGATTCTTCCTGATTCCCCAGAGAGGAAGCGCCTCTTGTGCTCTAGAGCAGGCGACTTCAGACACATTTAGATTCAATATCACTGAGTAAGAATTCGATCTCCCACATTGAAATGGGCTGGGCTTTCCCTGAGAGAATCCCTGAGGGATCCTAACTGTGGCCACGAACGAAGGGCCAGAGCTACACAAGTACCAGGCTAAACATCTCATTCTGGCGTAAGGGTTACTGTAGGGAAGGGCAGGGCCTTTTCAATGAATTATGTTTCTGTGTGTGTTTATTTTCAATGCCACTTATTAAATTCAGAACTCTTTTGGTAGTCAGTGGCCCTTAGTAAAGGAAATATATTTGCATTTCTATATCTTACATTTTATACTAGAAAAATCAATCTTGTAAGTATGTTCATGTACTCAAACAAGAGAAGACTTTTATTTTTTAGTCTTGAGAATAGAAAACACCAGAAAAACTCTGTTTTTCTCCTGTGGACCTTGGACCACATTTAGTCCTTGTGTGTGCTTTGTACAAACGTTTATATGAACATAAACACATGAGCTAAAGAAGTTGAGCAACTGAAATGAAAAACGAACTCATTTCCACATTAATGAATAACAAATATATTCATGAATTTGGATTCCTTCTCTCTGCTATGAATTCAAAGCCGTTATAGAGATAATGGAAACATATCTTGAACTTTCTTACATTGTGTATCACTAGAACTCTCTGTGCAGATAGCAACACGTCTGGAACTAGCTCGAGCCGGAGAAGAAGAAAATGTAGGGATTTGTTACCGAGGGACTGGAGAATCCCACAGAACCTGTGAGCTAGAAGCAGTTGAGGAACGGGCTGGAGCCCTGTGGGAAGCCCTAGCCCCACTGCTTTTCTCCGCTTCTCTCCTCACACCAGCTCCCTTGTAGCTCTGCTACAAACAGACTGCCTTCCCCTCCTCCTCGATTCAGTCGTGGAATGTGGCTGCCAACAGCTTCTGTGCATCCAGTGGAAAGAAACTCAGCTCCCTGCTCCAGCCTCCAGATCCCTAGAGAAGGGGTCCGCTTGGCCAAGCCCGGGGCACACACCAATTAGCTGTGTTTGGGAGGAGCATGACTGTCCCCACAGGAACAGTAAAGAGGTGTGGCAGCACCCAGAACAGAGGGAATGCTGGGTGAACAGACCTTTAGAAGGTGTGCACAGCACAGTGACCAAGAAAACACTGGCTTGAAATAAAGTGCTTTCATTAAGAACAATCAAACTGATCTTTGGTTTAGTCTGTGCTGGTGTTTTATCTTCATTCTCCTTCTATTTCTTACCAGTTAGAACTAGCCTTCTCACGTGCTGCTGGCTGTAATCCGGGCATCAGGTCTTCCTTAAAGCAATAACCTTAATATTAAAAAGTGTAAATAAAACCTTATTTAATGAATCTTCTCATTGTTGTATCATGCTGTGAATGTTGATGAATAGGCAAGACAAAAAATACACTTAATTTGTCTGCTGTTTAAAACCCCAAGATACTCATTTGACTGCTGTTAAAAGGACTGTTTTTTATATCTTGCCTTAGCTAAATAAAGAAAACAAGACATTGAAAAGAATCAGCATGTTATATATGGCCAAGCTGGGACCCGATGTCATCACCGAGGAGATAAACATTGATGAGGAAGATTCAGCGGCAGACCCAGAGGCCACCGCTGACACGTGTGTCTCGGTGCAGTGTCAGAAGCAGATCAAAGGTGGGGCTTCGGGCTTAATCATTGAGCTTAGTTTTGATCATGTTTATCGACCCTGGTTGCACAAAAATACCGAAGTCTGGGTTTTATCTTGCAAAAATTGTGATTTCAGCGTCCTAAGGTATAGTGTGGCTGATAATCATGATAGGGTGTAACATTTGTGCTTGATGAGTTGCTTTCTCGTCTGGGACTGGGCGTTTTGGAAAGCACTGTCTTGACAAACAGCCAGTTAGTCTATAAACTTCTTAAGAATGTGGACTATAGGTTAAGATATTCTTGGTGAAAATAAAACGAAATGAGAGAAAGAATGAATAAAAAATCTATTTGGTCCATGACTTCTGAGTGTGGGTCTCTGCTGGAATCTTTGGGGGGAGATTCCTCCCCAAATTGCTTCGTATCTGCCCTCAAAGGGTTTTTTCTCATCTAATTCAGGGAACGAGCTGTAAGCAATATGCAGTACTGCACAGCTGTGTTGATGAGCAAGACCTGGTGTCAGGCAAGATCATAGGATACACTTATTAAGTACACACTCATTCATAAACATATATACGCATTGCGAATGTTAAAGATGTAGGAGAGAGATTTTGTTTCAGTAACTACTGGCGTATTTTAACTTAGTGCCCATGTCAAAAGCAATTCTCGTTAGCTTGGTAGACAAAGTTTCAATTGGAAGTATTAAGAAGAAAGTATAGTCAACCCTTCATTTCAGTGCATTCCGCATGCGAGCATCCAACCAAGGGCAGATAGAGAATATTTGAGAAAAGAAGCTCATGTTGTCGCTGACACGTACTGTGTTGTTCGACCTAAGATGATTGCATCTGTACTGAACACATACAGAGTGTTTCTTAAACAATAAAGTATACAAATTACTTACATAGCATTTACATTGCATTAGGTATTATATCTAGAGATTATTTAAAGTATAACAGGAGGATGTGCTCAGGTTGTATGCAGACACTATGCCATTTTATATGCCATTTATATGATGGCATTTGTGGATTTTGCTGTCCGAGAGGTCCTGGAACCAATTCCTGCAGATACCAAGGGATGATTATATAAAGAGAGTCATCTTTAATCGACTCTTCCCTCTCTTAACCTAGGACAAAATAATATTTATGTTGGTGAAGACAGAGGAAGTTTCAAGGGTTTTCTTCTGTCCATAATGCTCCCTCCCTGTAGGTCCTGAACAGCACGGTCCCTCGTGCTGCATTCAGGGTCGGCAGCCAGTAGACAAAGTGATTTTGCAATAAGTCTCAGGACTCCGTTAAGTGGGTTCGTGTAAAAAGTTTGATTTAATTTATAAATAACCACATAGCAGGTTTCTTATTGTCCTTGCAGAAAGGTAAGAAATTAAGAGCAGTTAAGAACTAAGTGGCAAAACCAGAAGCCTGGGTATAAATTCAAGTATTCTGTGTTAATCCATGTATATTTTTAAACATTCGAGTGGGGAAGTAACTCGAATCTCACACCAGAAGCTTTTGCACTTACAGTGGCTAATATTTTCATTTTAATAACACAGTTTTCATTAAATCCCAGTAACCAGAAATATGAAATAAATTAAGAAACAAAACACCCACAACTCTGGAGAGAAAATTACTAGAATTAACCCTTTTTCAAATAGGTTATATTTTTGAGTCAGTTAAAATAATGTTTAAGGGCTATAAATTGGCAGCAAGTCAGGATATTTTTCTTCAAATCAAAGTCTCCAAATTATTAACTGCCCAATTGTTTATATTGTATTGTGACAAGAGTCCATGGCCATTATAAAATAGAAAAGAAATTACTACAATGCCTTAATTTGTTTTAAAGCTTAAACAGTTTATTTGAAAGCTGAAAAAAAAATTTGCTTCTAAAATGCCAGATAGTTTTCTTGACTGTGGGTTTGGTGGAACGCAAAGAAAACGTGATCCGGTGCATTTAACACAGTGAGTCTGCGTGACTTGAAATGACTAAAAAGGCCATTGCTGGAGGGCACGGAAATGACATTTGCATTGTCCTTCGCTTCTTCATTTCTCTTTTCTTTTTTTAAAAAAATATTTTAATTATTTAGTTTCAGAGAAGGGGGAAGGGAGGGAGAAAGAGAGGGAGAGAAACATCAATGTGTGGTTGCCTCTCACATGGCTTCCATTGAGGATCTGGCCTGAAATCCAGGCATGTGCCCTGCCTGGGAATCAAACCGGTGACCCTTCGGTTTGCAGCCTGCGCTCAATCCACTGAGCCACACCAGCAGGGTCCATTTTTCTTTTAATTATTAAATAACCTACCTGGCTGGCGTAGCTCAGTGGATTGAGCGCGGGCTGCGAACCAAAGTGTTGCAGGTTCAATTCCCAGTCAGGGTACATGCCTGGGTTGCAGGCCATGGCCCCCAGCAACTGCACATTGATGTTTTTTTTTTCTCTCTCTCTCTCTTTCTCCCTCCCTTCCCTCTCTAAAAATAAATAAATAAAACCTTAAAAAAAAATAACCTGACCATGAGCTGCACATGGGCTGGCCTTTTCCATTCTTTTGACAAGATTGATTTCTTTTAAAAATATGTTTATTTATATTTTTTCCCTTGCTTTTTTTCTTTGAAAATGCAGAACTTCGAGATCAAATTGTATCTGTTCAGGAGGAGAAGAAGATGTTAGCCATTGAACTGGAAAACCTCAAGAGCAAACTTGTAGAAGTCATGGAAGAAGTACGTATCTTAGGCCTGGCAGGCGAGGCCTTCCGCGTTTTCAAGGGGCTCAGGGGCCGGCCATGCTGAGAACTTCCCTTTGAAAGCTGAGGTCTGACAAGTGAGCCAAGTACCGGTTCTGATCTCCTCTTCTCCCCTCTCTCTCAGACCTGCAGAAAGGTCTAGAAAATCAGATCCTAACCATTCGTGTACCCACTGCTTAGCTTGGGACGGAAGTAGCATCGAAGTGCTCCCTGCTGCCCCTTCTGTTTCACTGTGGGAGGCCCGTTTGTGCAAATGGCATCTTGAATTTAGGCCACACACCTTATTGCTGCCGGGAAAGGAGTATTTTGCTTCTCCAGTGCGTGGCTGGCTCAGTTGGGAGAGGCTGCCCCCCCATATACCCCCAACACAGGCATAGGTGATAGCTGGTAGAAGGGGTTCGAGTAGGTATTTAGAGAACCTGTTCCTTTTTATTTTTGAATTGTCCTTAAGAGCAGGAGTACATAATTGCCTTTCTTTGCACATGGCTTCAAGGATCTGCCTTTGTCGATGGTTCTCAGTCTCTGTAGCCCAGAGCCTGCTGATCGATGTGCCGTAGCACCTTGAGATCCCTCAGAGGCCTTACAAGTGTGCCGAGGTATCATCGATCCTTTCAGTGAGCAGCCTCACCTGATTAGTTCCCATCCCCATGCTCTCGTTTCCTCAAGGGCCACAGTGTGAGAGGGCTGGGGGAGCCATGCCCGCCAGCCTCTCGGCCCTGGGAGTTCCTACTCATGGTGGCAAAGCATCCCAGGGAATGGGAAGAAGGGTGATGTTTTGGAAATGGCATTCTTGCTGGGCATTTTATAGCAGTTACCAAGTGAGGCCAAAACCGAAAGTGGGGGTTATACTAAAAGAAGTCAGTTCGGAGACTACCCGAAGTGTCGATGCATTCAGGGGGTCGGAGTCCTTGTCAGGACCATGGCCTCAGCTTGTGTCTCAGCCATGGAGAGAGACGCATTCTGATGCACGGTGTTCCTCAGCTGTCGTCGCTGATCGATGCTTCTCTCCCTCCCACTTGGAGGTGTGATTGGAAGCTGTTTCAGAAGTTAGTTTTGTGATGACTGTTTCAAGCATCTGAAAAGTATAAAAAACAAAATAATGAACATCTACATGCCTACTGTCTGCCTTAATACATAAAACATTCAGGGAGTATTGAAACCCAGGTGTCTTTTTCTCCTTAGTTGCATTTCCCCAAACAGCAGTTATTCTGAATTTAAGTTTTATCATTGCAGTACGTGTGTTTATATTTGTATTGCAGTACATAGCATTTTGAGTGTTTTTAAACCGTATAAACTTAACCTGCTTTTTACATTCTACATAATGCATTTGGGATTTATCTGCTTTGATATGTATAGCTTTACATTTTTTTTTAACTATGCTATTCTCATCTCCTATTGGTAGATGAAAAAAAATTATTTCAGACATTTTAAGTTTGGGGGGAATATTATCATATGTATCTTATTTAAACCAAAAGTCATCCAAATTGAAAATATTTTTTAACTTAAAAATTTATGTATGTTTTACCTAAACCAACTATCATCAAAGGTTAAGATAAATACCAAAATTGGGTATTGGATCTCTAAATGACTCATGTATTTTCTGAGTGCTCTGTAGTGGGATTTTGCATTAAAAATACCAATCCTTTGCACTGGCCAGTTAGAACACTGCCGTGTGTAGAGACCAGAGCCAACGCCATTTGGGATATATGAATAAATTCTCTACCAGTCGTGCATCCTGACTTAAATAGTTCCTTTACGGCTTTAAGGAGAGCCGTAATGAAAGCCTGATGCAGGGAAGCCGAATGCTACTTTAAATTGTGAACTCCTTGTTGCAAGTTGAACAGCAATTTGCGTATCACACATCACCATATGTCATGTCTTACAACTTTGGGTGTTTTCTCTCCTCAAAATCTCACATTTTTAGGTAAATAAAGTTAAGCAAGAGAAAGAGGCTTTAAATTCAGAACTTCTTGATCAGAGGAAAGTCTTAGAAAAATGCAATAGAGGTATGTGTTTCCAGTTTTTTTTCTCAAGTGCATATATAACTTACTTTGTGTGTATATACGTATATATTGTGTTTTATAAATGTGTCTAAAGACCCTTGCAGCAAGAATCTTCTCCTGTATTGTGTTTTCCTAACTTACAGCAATGGGTCTCTCTCATTTCCATTTCCTCACTCACCTTAGGGTCTTGGGACATCCACAAGTGCTTGTACTTAAGAAACTTGCAACCCGCTCATTTTGAAGCTTTTGACCTAAATGTTTATCCATCCTACATCTATCCTGGGACCATGGCCATATTGGCTGTGCCCTCAGTATTTGTGTATTTGGCAGGTTTGTTTAGTAAACCTCTTTTCAATCCAGAAGAGATAGGATATCTACATAATACATGCAGCATGATAGGAAAGTGTTTTAGATTAGGAGGCTGTGGAAGACGGGACCAAGGGAAGGCGCGAGCACGTACCGCTACTCAAGGTGCAGACAGACGCATCCCCGCCTGTGTGCCTGGAACCTGATGCCCAGCTGCCCCGGGGCCAGCGCAGGCTCCCGTGACCACCTCGCAAATTCACGGTCATCTATACGAATCCCATAAACATGGACCCACTCCTCAGGAGAAGCAGACGTGTTCCTCTGGTGAGAAGGAAATTTCTCCCAAGGTGACTTCTGGAGAAAACTGCGGTTTGATCTTAATCCTTGTCGTAAAACGCAGGGCCTAGTCTCACCGCGCTGTTTTTTGTGTCCCCTGGTTTAGGACAAGGGAGTGACACTAAAGTGCGGCCCTGCAAACATATTCTGAGACAGAGGACTGGCTGTGGTTTTGTCCTCTGGTCCCCTTCTTTCCCAGTCCAAGAGCTACAACACTGAAAGGAAATCTTTCTGACCCAGGGCCTTCCCTGTTTTTGATGCTAGTTCTCCATCTTAGCATCGCTCATGACTTGAGATTTTGGAATAAACAAAGAACCTTGTAGTTAAGTGTGGGAGATGTACTCAGTTGTAACATGTCCTCAGCTCTTTCTGCCTTTGAGAAGGTAGAACTGGCGTAGAAGACGTCTCAGTCTTGATGCACTGGGCTAGAAATGGAGGGTTCTACGAAGATTGACCACATGGATCTTGCCTTCAGAGAGCCCCTCTCCTTGGAGGAGGGAGGGAGATTATATAAACAATCACACAGCTCGGACCAAACTGACTCCTGGCAGAATCCGGGTGAAAGGGACCGGGACACATGAACACTCACTTCTTATTACAGTGTTGTGCACATAGACAACAGAGTCAGTTATCCTGCCCGGGGCTTCAGATAGTCGCCGCACAGTCTTTGTCTCCTTCATGAAATTTCTTTTTAAAATAGCTCTGAAAATAACGGAGCTCTCAGGGACCTATAATTCACATCACCAACCACCACTCTTATTGCTTTACCCGAGTAAGACTGTTCATCTTCCCTCCGAGTCGGCAGCCGATTGACAGAGTGTGGAGTCTGAAATTCCATGTCATTACACCGCAAACCGGTCCTTAGTCAGTTAGGACTGAAGGGCCCCGGCGGAGCCGCGCTTGAAAGCGGCCATTAAGAGAAGGCCTTTTCAGAGACGGTATCGATGCGGCTCAGCTCGGAATCGCAGGTGCCCCGCCAGGAGCAGGCCGAGAGACCAGGGTGATAGCCACCTGCCTTGTGTCTCACTCACTGCTAATGGCGTCATCACTCCCTGTCTCGGCTGTATCATTCTTGAACGAAACGGAACACCAGGTGTCAGAAGCTCTGAGTAATGCGTGTGCTCTTGTGTGACGGGACCTTCCCCCGGAGATTTCTGTCCTGTCGTGACTCTTCAGTTCAGGGCTCTAGGCCTGCATGGGTCCGAGGCTGTTTCTCTTCTTTGTAAACACGGAGAACACTTCAAAATAACTTATATCTGTTTTTCTTTTTATTTGGCTAATATACTTTGTTTGGTGGAAAGTATAGATTCATACAAAAAAAAAAGGAAAAAAAATACTCTCAATCTTTCCAATCTAGAAATAAGCACTATCAACATTTTAGTGTATATTTTCCAATCTTGAAAAGTCTATATATACATTAAATTGTTAGTTAAAAATGTTTATAACATATATGGAAGACAAAGAAAATACCAGCAAAATGGTCTCCTTAACCATTAGTACCTTCCAAGTTCCTGAACACCTTTCTCTATGCATACCCATCCCTTGGATTTTTATCATGTTTAATTTTTAATTTTGCCATATACGTTTGCATCCTTAGACTACAGCATCTTGTTTAATTTTGTGTGTTTTTGAACTTTGTAAAATGTTGTAATTTTGCACATGTACCTCTTCAGCTTTGTGTTTGTGAGGTCTGTCCATGATGAAGGGTTTTGCTGTGGTGTGTTTTTTTTTTCCCTGCAGTATCATATTTCATTCAATGTCTGCATCAAAATTCTCGTAGCCTGTATCCTATTGGTGGATGCTTGAGTTTTTTCCCGTTGTTTGCTATTCCAAGTCATAGTGTTGTGACAATTCTTATTCATGTCTCCTGGTATGTATGTCCAAGAGTGTCACCAGGGTATATGACAAATGTAAACTTTTATGTGTATTTCAGTACCAAATGCCAAATTACTTTTTAAGTAGATCTGTAAGTTTACATTACTGGTAGCTGCGTGTTTGTTCCTGTTTGTTCTCTATAATCTCCAGACTTGATGTGTACTTTTAATTTTTTTTGCCAGTCGAGTCTTTGGTGAGTATAGGAAGGTATCTGTGTTTTTACTTTGCATTTCCTGTTTACTAACGAAGGTGAGTATTTTTCTACATGTTTATGGGCCTTTTACATGTTTCCTCTTCTGTGAAATGCCTTGTTAGTGTGTTGAGTATGTGGCTTTAAAAAAAAAAACCAAAAGGAACTCATTTAAGATATCACGAATGCCTTTTCATTCAATAAATATGCTTCTACACTATAACTTTGATGGCAGAATACTATGTCTTGTACATACTATACTTCATTGGTCCTTCCACGTAGACCATTATGTTACTGTTTCCAGCCACGATGCGGAGGCATCTCCGCCACTAAGTCTTTGTGTATGGTCACCAATTATTCTCTTAGGAGGATAAACACATTCCTAAAAGTGGCATCGTTGAGCCAAAGAGTATGAATAACTAGAGTTTGATTCACATTGCCCTCCAAAAGGTTTTATCGGTTTACGTCCCATCCAGCAACGGTGGAGAGTGCTTATGCGCCTGTATAAAGAATGTTTTTAACACTATTTTCATCCACATTCCTGATCATCTGTGTGGCGTATTGTCCATTCCCCGCCCCCACCCCTTGTCTTCTTAAGTGTCCATGCTGGCAGTAGAAGAGTATGAGGAAATGCAAGTAAACTTGGAACTGGAGAAGGACCTTCGAAAGAAAGCAGAGTCATTTGCACAAGAGGTAAGTAAGTATCTTGTAGAGGCCTAGTTTTAAATTTTTATTTCTTAACTTTGCAGATGACATATCAGAGTATTTTTCTTTAGGTTGAATAAGAACTTACCACTTTGAATTAAGGATCAGCCGAGTTAGGCAGGCAGCTATGGATTACAGTCCAGTTCACTGAACTTGGTATCAGATCTGGGTTCGAATTTTGGCACGTCGGTCAGTTCCCAGTTGTGTGACCGTACAGCCCTCTCTTAGCTGCTTGGGGCTTCGCTTTCACTCTGTGAGATGGGTGATAATGCTGACAGAGCCAAGGGGATTTGAGATTCAAATGGCACAACTTCTCAAAGGTATTTTGTAAACTCTAAAAGGCTACACATGGATGGGGAAAGAAGTTCTATCCAGGGATGCTCATAACCTTTGATGGAAAAGTCCAGCTGGAGTATAGGACTTTTGTCTGTGTCCAGAGGCCTTACGAATCGAGGTTACCTCTCCAGATACCGTCTCCAGTAACAGTATCATGGTCTTGGTATTTCCCTTCGGCTGCTCATCCAGTGCTCGCATTACGTGAGTTGATTCTCCTGCGTGCTGTGGCACATTGCCACGCTGTACATCCACTATCTCAGCCTTTCTCCGGAGCAATGATGGTCCTTTCATGTCAGAGATAAGCTTTGAGCGTCTCACGTTCCAGCGTACCTTTGTTGACATGGGCATTGGGTGTTCCTCGGCCCTGGGACTGGCTTCCAGGGAAGTGATGAGGTACCAGCTGATTGCACCCTGGCAGCTCACGATGGGGAGCTGATACACCTGAGAGTTCCATCACGTATAATTATTTTGAATCAGTGTAGGTTGAATCATACTGTAGGTTGAAGAAAAGTAGCCAAGGAAATGTAAAACATTCTTAGGTGGAAGTGGCCACAGTGTAGAAAGAACACAAAGCGTGGGGTCATGTGAATAACATTTAAAAATCAGATTATGGCTTTGTGCGAGAGCCGTTCTGTGCTTGAATGGAGCTGGGCTAGTAATAAACTATAAAAGGTTTAGCCCAAGAAGATCTGATTTGAAATATTATGATTCATTTTATTCAGAGAGTTTAATGAAAGGTGAGTAAATACTGTCCTCTTATTACTCGGAAGAAAGAAAAAGGAGCTGGAGTGTCTCAGAGTTCTTTGGAAAAAGCTGCTGCGGTATAAATAATGGATCTAAATAAACAGCTGAGGGGAGGGAGAGCGGAGATAATGGGGCGACGCCTCCGCTGCAAAACTGAAAATGTTCGCTGACGCTGGCCTGACCACCAGGGTCTCGTTCGGAGAGACGTTTTCAGTGCTCCACCCCCATTGTGTGTGGAGGGATGTGAGAATACAAAGCAGCTCCAAGGAAACTTGAAGGCCATGCTTGCCGTAGCAGAGAAGACAGGTGGGAGGAGCAAGACTCCGCCGAGAACATGAGAACGGGTTTCTGCCGTTCCGGAACGAGGAGATGGACGTTGGAGGAGGGAAGGCGAGAGCCGTGGTGCGTGCGCCGCTGGCGGCGTAAACGCTGGGCAGTGGGCTCAGTGCCGCTGGCCGAGTAAATGCTGGGCAGTGGGTTCAGCGACGTCCCGGGGCCCAGACTGGCCCGCAGAGTAGTGAGAAGAAAGGTCGAGCTGGGCTGGGGCCAGTATATCTTCCCTTGTGCGTGGTGTACCAGTTCTCAGGTTTTCAACAGGTAACTGTGGCTAGAAGGTACTGACTTCGTTCACCAAGAGAAGGGCCGGCTTTCTGGCAGTTTGTTCCTGAGTGCGTTCGGCAAACACCACATTGCACCAGACACTGCCGATGGTGGGGATATGACGGGGAAGAAGGCAAATGTGACCTCTGCCCTTTGGAACCTTGGAACCTGCTGTCTAGAGACTTAGAAATGGATTTTTAACTTCAATTTACTGGATGTATTTAATTACAAAAGGAATACATGCCTTGTAAAAGAACACAAACCATTCTCAAGTGTATAAGATAAAAAAATGAAAATTTCTTCCTTACACCTTACACCTTACACCTACTTCTACTTGTCCATTTAAAAAAACGAAACCGTGGTCGATGACCACCCATCCTGGATGCCACGATTTCCCATCAGGATGACGATGCTTCAGGGATGCTGGCCTCTCCCTGTTTTGGGAGCGTTAGCTCACAGCCCCTGTTCCAGGCACAGACCCCATCCATTCCCTTGTCTCCCTTGGATCAGTGCTGAAGCCTTCTCTGCTTTCCTTGACGCCCCAGTAGAAGATTTCAGGGATGGAAGTCTCCGAGCGGCAGTGAGACAGGCTAGTAAGCCAGGACAGGTGGAGTAGGGAAACTGGGACAGATAGTTAAATGGCCAAGCAGTGTACAGCTTGGATTCTACCAAATCCTGTCTTCCTGACCCAGGACACCTAAAAGTGAATGGTTTCTATTTCTCTTCCCCAGCCGGAGGGTAAATAGCTTACATCACCCTACTCAGGGAGAGAGAAAAAAATGCAGTTAGTGCCTTCCCTGCCAACCACACCCCAGGACTGATGAAGTTAAGGGAATAAATCTCATTTTGGCGCATCATGATAAAGCTGCTGAGTATTCTGAGATCCTCCCCTAAAATCCCAGGCTTTAAAACCCTCACAAGGAAGGACCCAGGGCATGCGCGCGCTCGCGCTCTCTCTCTCTCTCTCTCTCTCTCTCTCTCTCTCTCTCTCTCTCTCTCTCTCTCTCTCTCTCTCGCACGCCCATGCCTTTTTTCCCTCGCCTTAACTGTGAGGGACCCCAGGAGAAGTACAGCCAGGGGAGCAGTGGGCAGCGACAGCTGTGCTGGGGCTAATCCCCTGGACCTGCCCCCTTTTCTCCGACTTCCCAGTGAGCTAAAACATCCCCACCTCGCCTCGCTTCTTTCCTACAGCATCTCCGGAGCGCCAGCGCAGCCCCGCCCAGGCTCTCCTGTTGCTGCTTCTGCCCCGAACCCTTCCTGGTTTCACCGTCCCCAGCTTTAATAAACACACTCTCAAAACCAAACACGATCGCCCCCTGGGTAATTTGTGTAGGGCATTAAGGAAAAGAAATAACAGGTGAATAGAAAATGATGTTGTCTTTAATCATGGGAAGTTGTGAAGATTCAATGAATGATATATGTAAATTGCTTACTAAAGTGCTTCATAAGTATTACTGTACCTCTCCCCTTCTTTTCTTTACAGTCCTACTGTTAACTGCTTCATCACTAGGGAAAAAGTAATTGCTTTAAAACAAAACCTTAGGTCTCGTGAATAGTGGGTGAGATTAGCCAGGTGATCAAGAGCTTGGGTTTGTGAAGCAGATAGATCTGCATTTAAATTCCAGCTTTGCCACTGACCTGTGTCCTTGGGAAGAAAGTTACTTAACCCCCTGAGCTTCACTTACCTTCTTAGTAAAAATGGATAAAAACAGTATCAACTTGACAGTGTTGTTTTAAGGATTAGATGACAGAATACATGTAAAATGATTAAGTGTCCATAGAGTGTAGTGAGTTTTAGCTATTCACAGCAGAAGCATGTAACTCATAGGATTAATGCAAGGATTAAAATAATGCATAATTCAAAATAATAATTAAGATAAAATATTGAAATTAAAATGATTAAAATAAGTATTTAGCAGAGTACCTGGCATAAGATAAGCTCTTCATAAATCTTGGCTACCACTGTTAGTATTCGTGGATTTAAAAGATAATACAATATTAAAAACTGAAGCGTAGGGCTCAATTCTTGTACCTGGTTGGGGGCAAGGGTACAGGTACTGAAGATTGTATAAAAGGTTATGAATTGTAATCATTACTTCTAAAGCCGTTAAGTTACAGAACTCAGAAACCGCCTTTACTTTTTGCTAAAAACTCCAGCTACTTTCCTCTTGCTGCAGTTGCAGTGGTGGAGGTGGACGGGCATCTCCATTTCCATAACTAACTTTTGCAGATGTTCATTGAACAAAACAAGCTGAAGAGACAAAGCTGTCTTCTGCTGCAGAGCTCCGCTCCTGACCAGCAGCTTCTGAAAGCTCTAGATGAAAACGCCAAGCTCACCCAGCTCCTTGAGGAAGAGAGAATCCAGCATCAGCAAAAGGTAACGGGTTTTCTTCTGGGGCCTGAACACATGTGTGCGCGCGCGAGCACATTGAGAAAGCAGTTAGTCTAGTCCCTTAGAGTTCCACGTTTCGCCCAAGTTACCAAGTCTGTCTTTTCACCTCTTGGGAAAAAATAATTTAGTGTCCAACTAAAATTTACAGTGCCTTATTGTTTTAAACTGTCTAAAAGTACAGAAGGAGGGAGGGAAAGAGAGACGGCTTAAGAAAAGCTCGGATAATGCATCCAGCGCCCTGTTCGGAGGCCACGGGTGACTGCCTTTGCGAGGGACCCCACGCCGCAGGGGAGTATTGCTCTCAAAGAGCTCGTGGGAGGGCGTAGGTTTTCTCCAGAGAGGGCCGGAAGGCCCATGTTGGTTTGCTCAGAGGAAATTTCTGGTTTTGTCAACTTGCACAAATGTGTGTGTTTCAAGACGTCCTACGTGGTTATTTCCGTTTGTTTGAGTGGAGCCGCTCCAGCTCCAGCTGGCGCAGCCTACCAGGGTGTGCCCGGCCAGAGGGATAATCAGCATGGCAGGTGAGTGGGGGCAGGAGAGCAGGAGAGGCCCAGGGCTGGAACAGAGGCTTTCCAGTTAAAGAAACCACTTCGGAGAAATCACACCAATATTTAGACTGCTTACAGTGTACCTAGCTTGTGAAGGAAAGACTGTTGGCTGCTATTCGTTATCATTTGTCACAGTCTCTTTAAGGAACAATATTGACAGTTGATCCTTGGGGGTTTCTGAAGTGTTTACAAAGTTGTCCATGAGGTAGAGTTGTTGTTGTTGTTGTTGTTTTCCCTCAATAAGAAATGCTGGCATATGCATAGAGGGTGGGAGAAAGAATCCCCACCCCCACATGCAGGATTACCGTTGTAAATAAAGAGAAAATAAAAGAGTGCTGTGTTTACCTAGCTGTTCTAGAATGCGGGGGTTCTGAAGAGCCCTGCTGCTTGCAGGGAACTCGTTCAGTAACTGGTGCACAGGAGGACCTGCCGGGCGGGACCGAGCGCGGGGCTGAAGTGCTGGGCACGAGCCCGAGGTTGGCGGGGAGAGGCGCTGAGGGTCAGGTACGAGAGTCTCGAATGGGTCGCAGCAGTCATCACCTCTCAGACTGTGATGTTACACCGTCCAGTTTCTCTGGACGACATTCATGTCTGTGGTGTGTAAAATATCTCTCGCCTGTCTGTAAGTCCACCTACGGATTTAGCAAGTTTTAAACACAGCCGTACTGCTTTTATAAGTGCAAAGATGACCTATCCCTTCTAATAAATTTTTTAAATATAGGAAAAGTTAAAGAAGAAAATTAAGATTATCTAAGCATCTCATGTTTCGATGCTTATCTAAACCTCATGTATATATATACTTCTATGAATACAGTTTAAATGGAATCATACCATGCATACTGTTCTATAACCTGATTTTTAAAATTAATAATATATTGCCCTGGCTGGTATGGCTCAGTGGATTGAGTGCCATCCTGCAAACCAAAGGGTCACTGGTTCGATTCCCAGTCAGGGCACTTGCCTGGGTTGCAGGCCAGGTCCCCAGTGAGGAGTGTGTGAGAAGCAACCACACACTGATGTTTCTCTCCCTCTCATTCTCTCTCCCTTCCTGTCTCTCTAAGAATAAATAAATAAAATCTATAAAATTAATATGTCTTCCTTTGTCAGTGTATAATGGGCTATATGATTTTTAAATGTTTGCGTGGTATTTGATTTAGTGAGCACACTAGCATTTATTAAATCAGTGATATTGGCAGGCATTTAGGTCATTTCCAGTTTTTCCCTGTCACAAAGAATACTTTAGTAAATATATTTGAACACTTGTCTTATTACTTCTTTAAAACAGATTCCAATAGTAGTATTACTGGGCCCTGGCTGGGCAGCTCAGTTGGTTAGAGCTTTGTCCCAGTACACCAAGTTTGGGGGTTCGATCCCTGGTCGGGGCCCATGCGAGAAACAACCAAAGAATGCGTGAATAACTGAAACAGCAAATCAGTCTTTCGCTCTCTCCTTCTCTCTCTTTAAACATCAATAAAAAATTTTTAATGTAGTGTTACTAAGTCAAAGGGCCTTTCCTTCTTTCTTTTCCTTCTTTTTTTTTAAATGGTTTTTAATGCTTATTACCAAATTGTCCCCCAAGGGTCTGTTTTAGTATTATCTGAATTTTTCTCTTGAAAACATGCATGGAAGTATTTATCTGTTTTAAATAAAATTTTAAGGTATGGTATTACTTTTTTGACTCACATTAAAAATGAGATTACCTGGGATATATAGTTCTCTAGCACATGTTTACTGAATCAAATAGCTGATAATGATTTTAGGTATTATATGCATCCCAGAATGTGTATAGTTTTAAAGATGCATTGGAGCCCTGGCTGGCATAGCTCAGTGGATTGAGCGCGGGCTGGGAACCAAAGTGTCCCAGGTTCGATTCCCAGCCAGGGTACATTCCTGGGTTGCAGGCCATAACCCCCAGCAACCGCACATTGATGTTTCTCTCTCTCTCTCTCTCTTTCTCCCTCTCTCTCCCTCCCTCCCTTCCCTCCCTAAAAATAAATAAATAAAAAATCTTAAAAAAAAAAAAAGATGCATTGGGATCTCTTCGCTATGAAGTGCAAGGTAAATGGGAAACATTTCTTTTGTCCCTTTCTTGTCCTTGACACAGGAAAAACTTTATCATTCAATAAAAGTCTGTTTATAACTTACAGGTCAAAGAATTAGAAGAACAACTAGAAAATGAAACACTCCACAAAGAGATACACAACCTCAAACAGCAACTGGAGCTTCTAGAAGAAGATAAAAAAGAATTGGAATTGAAATGTCAGAATTCTGAGGAGAAAGCCAGAAACTTAAAGCATTCTGGTAAAAGCATTCAGGAGGCTATTATGTCCTCTTGTTAATCTGAATTTCTCATGCGCAGTACAAAACCTGGTGTGCAGTTAGTCCAGAACGTTTACTGAATGCCATAGAAAAACACTAAGATTCGTGTTCAAATTTCTTTCTTTCTCACTTTTGCAATTAGTAGAATGGCCCTGGTAATTAAATGATTCACAAACATTTAGACTTTTTTGGACTCAGAGCCTTTGTAAGCATCGCATAGAATTAAGAGCTAAAGGCACCATTGATATGAGAAGACCGAAATTCCAGTGTTTCTTTGGGCTTCGGTTATGACGGTTGATTAAGTACTTATTTTGTTCATTTTAGGGTATATTTTTTAAAAGAATTAAACTTTTTAGATTCATACCACCTTCATCTTTGATGTCTAATTATACACTTGAAATAATACTTAAAATATCGTACCTAACAATAAAGAGGGCAACAATATATATATTAAATGGAAAACTTTTAAAACACCAGGGGTTACTTCAATCAAAGGATTTATTCATTCAGTTCTGGAAAGCTTAACAGGAATGTATGAGTTGGATTACTGCACAGGGATAAGTAATAAGTTTTTGCTGGAAAGTAGGTAATTTGAGGAGGCCGGTCATTCCCTTTATAACAGCTTCAAAATCCACTTCAGATATTTTTGGTTAATTTTATACTAGAATTTTGAAATCTGCACAGAAGAACCAAGTTGGCTTTGTTGCTTTACAATGCATTCAAAGCTTTGTAATCCACAATGAAAATTATAGTTTGGTTTTTTTTTTAAACTGATCTACAATTAAGAAATATTCCATTCTTTGTCGTGAATATCGGAGCAGCCTGTAGTGAAAGGCATTGATCTTTATTGTAAAGGAGGGGCAGACACTAGAGATATTTGCTGTTCGATTTGGGCCGTGTTTTCGTTTCTGCCGTGTGTACCCAGCCATACGCTAGGGTGCACTAAAGGAAATAGAGCAGAAAAGAAACCATGCCTTTTGTCCTTGAGGAGCTCGGACCCGCTCTGCAGAGGCAGTCCCATGGAAATACGTAGAGGAGTCGTGGTGTCTCGAGCCTACCCACACTACTTCCATGAGCACTGAGAGTGGAAGCAGACAGACCGATCGTCGTCGGGGCTACAGTCAGTCTGGGAAGCGGAGCGGCTGGGGAGACAGCAAGCTCTTCCGGCACGCAGGCAGCACCGGGCACCGGGAGCCCATCAGGGCCGGCGGCAGGGGTACTAGCATCAGGGACGGAAATTAAATTCTGCTCCTTGAAGTCAGGGACTGTGGCTGGCACAGCACCAATAGGCCCTTTCACGTTGTTGGTGCTTAGCAAATACCCGTTTCCTTAGTCACTAGAGTGAATGGAATGGATAAATCATACTCCCAGAATGCTCTTCAAAAGAGCAAAAAGTTTCTGAGTCACAGACACTTGAGAGTCTGAGTCTGGTTAGTATCAAGAACACTCCGATTCACAGTTGTTGAAGGAAATTAAGTGGAGGAGGAAAGCATGCTATTAAAATTCAGCACTAAATGTCATCTTTAAAATTAATTCTTGGTCTATACATTTGAAAAGTCAAGTAGTAACAATTTCTTTGTGTTTGAATAGTAAGTCGTTAACAAATACTTCTTCAACCCACTCAGTCCTTACTTCCCACCCGTCCAGCCCAGCCGTTGCCTTGACCTTTTTCCTTCCCCACAGTTGTAGGTACAGCAGATAGATGGTGACGTTTTCTTGCAACGTAGGTAAGGCCTCTTGCATCAGGGATGGTAGACTGGATGATAAAAAGTTGAAAAGATTCTGCAGTTTCATATTGGAATGTCTAACTTTGCCTTACCACAAAAGAACTTGGTTTTGAGGCAGGTCATGTTTTCTTCCTTAACAAGCACAAAAGCTGTCGAGTTGCCTCTTTCAGCCCTTTTCTGACCGTGCGTTCTCTGTGCAGTGGACGAGCTCCAGAAACGGGTGAACCAGTCCGAGAACTCCGTGCCCCCACCGCCTCCTCCTCCACCGCCACTGCCCCCTCCTCCCAATCCCATCCGGTGAGTGCGCCCGGCCGGGAAGACCGCCCTGCATCAGGGTACTTCCTTGTCAGTGAACCTGAACTTGGTGTTCATGGGCTTGTTTGTTTGTTTGTTTATGCTGGCTTAGAGTGCACGTTAGAGAATGGTCAGAAGTGTGAAAGATACCAGCTGGTGCTTCTCTAAGAGAATTTTCTAAAGACCAATGTATTTTTTGTACATTTTGTAAAGACCAATACATTTTGTCCCTTTTTGTAATACATATAGGAAGAGTCTTAAAAACCCCTGACGAGACTGACAGTGTTCTGTCGGAGAGGTTCCGATTCCATGGGGATGTCCCGAACCACGGGGAGCTAGACACAGCTGGTTTGGATACTTCAGTTTTAAGTTGCAGTCGATGACGTTGGGATTTCCTTTAAACTGGAACACCGACAATTTTTGAGCTTCTCCAGAATGTTTTCACCCTTTTCTCTCGCTAATCTGAATTTGAAAACCTCTAGTTTCCTCAGTGATTTAAAAAATAAAAGTACTAAACAAAAATGTAACAACTTATTGTTATAAACTAGTCAACTAAAAGTACGAATTATTTTTTTGTACCTATCTTCCTGTCTAAACCTTTAATGATGCTGAGAGAGGAGCCATCCTACAGAAGAAGAAATTAAATTCCTGTGACAGGAGACCATTCCTGGTGATGTAGTGGTACTGGGCGCCTGAATTAAGCACAGTCTACACCCAGGAGATGTAGTCAGATTTTGCCTCCATTGTGGTTCTTCATGGCACCAGGCAGAATTACATAAGACAGTCTACGCACTGCGGTGACACCTTGCTTCCTCGTGTCACGATCTGAGCTGCTGCTGTGTAATTTATTCTTGAGCAGGTGGAATTTAAAAATTCGCTAGATTTTTACCTTTCATTAACTCATGTGATTTGTTTAATCCTTTCACACAGAGAAGCCATTAATTCGAACCTGGTACCTTTGCTGATCCGTCTGAATAGAATGTGTAGCACACTCCCCCCACATGGCTATGAAAATGGGACTTTGCCTTTTAAAAAAAAAAAACTCATTAGTTTTCCTTACTGGTAGGGTATGACAATCTACTTTAAGCCATTGAAGTAGTTAAAGCAAAATAATTTTTACACGGGATCGATCCAAGAGTCAATTGAAAGAATTTCAGGTATTTTAAATTCTTTCTCTCCTGGGTTGCTAAATCTGTAGGAGATGGAGAAGTTCTGAATTTGACATTTAAAATAGGAAATTCATCACTTTGATCTTTCTCCAAGGTCTGGAGTTTTGAGCTGATAAGAAAGGTCACTCCTGTCTATGAGGAGGGAAAACTATTAAAAAGCGATTATAGTCGTGCTGTTGGCCTTTAATTTTCAGTCTCAGAAATCTTAAGAGCCCTTCAAATTAAAATATAACCTAAATAGACTGGTTTTCCAAAGAGCCCTTTACAGTTGAGAAAAGAATGCAGGATTCAGACCATATGTCTAAAGCATGAATTCTTTTATATAAAGTCCTTTAAAGAAAATTCATTGAATAACATGAATGATTTTTATTTTAAGATGGATTTAAACAATATAAGATATAATTTCTCAGTAGAAAGAGATTTTTTTCTTTTTCCTGGTAAGGAGAATGTGCTTGTCAGACGACTATATTTGCATGCGTATTAATTTTCAGTGGACTTTGAGTCCACTGATAAGGTTTTCCAACCTTGTTCCTGAGCTGTTGGCTCTACCCTGATGTGGGTCATGGGGTAGAAATGAAAGTGGTGGGGGGGGAGCCTAGGGCCTGTGACAACTTTAAGTGGCTTTATTGATTTCCTCTCGTCTTCCTGCCCATTGACTGAGGGGCCGGGGGAGACAGGACAGAGGGGAAGAAGGCGTAGCTTGGTCATTGTGCTGGCGGGAGTGAAATCCAGACAGGTCCTGGGATGGTGGGGCTCTTGGGAAAGGGCAGGTTGCGTTAGTGTATCCGTTGGAGTTCTCAAGAGAGACAGAACCAATGGGGAAGGGTGTGTGTACATATATACATATATAATATACATGTACATATACATGTACATGAAAAGAGTCTTATTGTAAAGAGTTGGTTCGCATTATTATTATGGACACAGACAAGGCCCCGGGGTCTTCAGGGCGAGTGAGCGAGCTGGAGACCAAGCAGAGCCTGTGGTCTGGTTTTGGTCTGGAGGTCAGCGGGCACAAGGCCCGGGAAGAGGCAGGGTTTCCGTCTGGGTCTGAAAGCAGGAGAACACAGATGCCCTACTTTCAAGGCGCTCAGGAAGGGGGCATTCTTTCTTAGGACTTCAGCTGATTGGACAAGGCCCACCCAGTTTAGGGAGGGTGGTCAGCTTTACCAAGACCACCAACTTAAATGTCAATCTCACTCAGAATCCTCAGAATAATGTTTGAATTCTGAATCCTCAGCATATTCTGGGTTCAGAACCCAGAATAATGTTTGCACATACAGCTGAGTACCCTATGACCCAGTCAAGTTGACTCATAAAATTAAACATCACAGTGGGCATGAGGAACACTTCTTACAGAATTTCAAGGTGAATATGTTCCATTGAACTGTTTCATCTTTGGAGGGCGCTTGCTTGAAGCTCTTACACATTCAGTTGAAGTGTCTGCAGAGTGTGGTGATTTTAGACGGCGGTTTGGATCATCGGTGCCAGACACCTCGCTCTGGTCTCCTCGTGCGTCCTGTGAAACCCGCCCTATCTGTTCTCTGGGCGGCCTGAGCGCCACCTTGACAGATGTTTTTTTCCTGATATCACCCACGTTTTCCTCTGAGTACCATGCTATTCTCCAACTTAGACTTCGATTTGGAACATTTAAAGCTAGCTCTTTCTCCACTCAGGTGGTTTACAGTGGTGACCAAGTATTCTTACTTCATTTATGTGAGTTTGTACAAGTATTCTGAGCAGCACAAATACCTTCCTGCTTCGTGATCTTCGTGTACAATAATACACAGTCTCAAAATCTCCCCTCAGAACTGGAGGTATGGTCATTACAGGGCGCTGTGAGGGGGAAGGCGAGGCCTCTAATCAGTGAGAACCCTGCCCAGACCCCACCCTACCCTGGAATGTTAGCAGGCAGACCTCGACCGCTCCTGCCTCCTGTTGACAGAATGGGAAAAAATGAGCAAATAAAGTTTGCGTTATTTCATTCCTCCCAGCTCCTGGAATAAAATGTCCTTATTTAAAAATCCTGTGTAAACTAGGATCCTGACTTCTGTGAAAATAATTTAACTCCGTGTGGGCCCCTGCGAGCCCAAGGAAGACGAACTCGATGAAGCCAGGAGCCCCGAGATGGGTTGCTTCCCAGTTGCCGAGCCCCGGAGATTTCCCGGGGTAGGGCAGGGCATACTGCTTTCTTCCCGCTGTGCTTCGTGGGACATTGCTCAGTGGGTCTGGGAATTTTAAGAGAAGTAAAGAACAAAATTTTAAACATTGCAGTCATCTAGAAACACGGAGTTGTTCGGTCGTCAGAGCACGTGTGACTCTGCCTCCCGTCGCCCCCTTTCCTAGAGGCGACACGGTGCCCTTGCCGTCCCCCGAGTGTCCCACTTGTTTTCCGTTGCTGGCTCCCCGGCTTGTGTCCCCGGGGACTCTCTTCCCGTCAAATCCAGCTCACCGCACAGAACAGATGAGTAATGCAGTTGGAAGAGTTCGAGAATCATTGATTCATTTGTTTCCGGTAAACTTTTTTCGGTGAATGATGGGATACGTGTAGAAATGTACACACACACACATTTACATATCCTACATAAGAGTCACCTCTGTTATTTCGTGTGGCTGAAGTTCATGCCTATTCATTGATACATAATTCATTTGATAAATGTCCCCAAATGTGTTTATCCATTGTGGGTACTGATAGACATTTGAGTTATTACCAGCTCAGGCAAACTACAGAAATTCTACATGAACATTCTTTTTTTTTTTTTTCAACTTTATTTGTATTGTTGATACTATTACAGATGTCCCCATTCCCCCCTCCCCCGTCCTTGCCCACCTCTATCCAACCCCCACTCGCCCCCCTTCCCTCTGGCCACACCAGGCTGTTGTCTGTGTGTGTGTGCATGAGCATTCTTGTACATGTACCTGGTGCCCTGGTGCTTGTATTTCTGTGAGAAATACAGAAGTGGACTCATTGGCTCCGAGGAGGTGGGTGTCTTCAGCTCCACTAGATGAGACCAGTTTTCTGAAGTGGTTCTGTCAATTCAATTCACACGCCATCTGTAGTTTGAGAATTGCTGTTATTCCACAAACCTGCCGACACTTGCTATTGTCAGACTTAAAATTTCTTACCTACTTTGTGAGTGTGTAGCGACAGATCAGTGTGGGCTTCACTTGTGTTTTCTAACAACGAATGAAGTTGAGGACCTTTTTGGTATGTGTATTGGCGATTTGGAATTTTTTTATGGAGTTATAAGAGTTTTGTCCATTTCTCTGTTATCTACTTTTTTCATTGGTTTGTGGATTTTCTTTTTATCCTTTATGGTGTCTTTTAATATAGGTTTTAAAATGTAGGTTTTAAAATTTTAGTGTCACATTTATCATGATTTACATTTTATGCAGATTTTAAAACCATGTGCCAGAGAGACAGTACTCTAAATATATATTTTCTCTCTTAAGTATGTTGTCTGGGTCACTCAGATCCAGGGTATTTCATGCCTGTATTTCACAAACAGACTATTTTCTGAAAATCCCTCCTAATTCTTTCATCCTTCCCTCTCCCTCAAACATGTTACCTAGAGAACATTTTTGAATTTTAGATATGGATATTGAGATTTTCCTTCATGTATTTTACTTTGTAAATGTCTGTGTATCGTATTAGTAATTGTAGCAGTCTTTCAATGAGTTTGGCTGCACACAGAAGGTGATGAGACACCTTTCAGGTCCTTGAAGTGATGAGAAACTTGCTAATTTTTAAAAAGTGGAAAGGAGGCTACGTAAGTTCTGCCTGTGCATTCATGCACCTGAGAGTTGGGTATTTCCGGGTTCTTGAGAATCTGTACATGTTATTTCTTGGATCACAAGGCCTCCAATAATCTGTCAACCCTCTCTCTCTCCCAAAGATCCCTCATGTCCATGATCCGGAAGCGGTCCCACCCCAGCGGCAGCGGTGCTAAGAAAGAGAAGGCAGCTCAACCAGAAACAAGTAATTCTCACCCCCGCCCTTGCTTCATTTTCAGTGGTTGACGGTGTACAGTTTTCTAACAGCACACAAAGTTGTCGACCTCAGTGACTATGGACAGACTGTCGGGGTGGGGGAGATGTGAACTTGACAGCTACCGGAGCGAACCAGGTAACAGTCATTGCCTTCGTGTATCTCGTTATCAAGAGCAGCACTTTCCAACCTGTCTCATCTCACGGCACACAGACGAATCGCTAAAATTCTGCGGCACGCCGCTGGGAAATCGCTGGCTAGAGCAGATCAGCATGCACACACGTCACTGTGAGGCGAAGTGTGCTGGGTGAGACACGTGATTAAGGTGCACAGGCGCTGTGGGGCACAAAGGAAGGAGAGGCGGTGATTCCCAGTGAGGGACTTGGGGAAAGGCTTTGCAGACTTGATAGCGGTGGACCGAGACTTTTATCAAGCACTTCATATGTACTCCTCGTCGCTGCACCCTGCGATGCAAGACACAGAATTTGCATTTGAGTGGGGGAGACAGGAAGAAAACTAATTATCCAATTAAATGTACAATGATTTCAATCTACTTTCTGATCAGAGCTGTGGAGGAGGCACACAAGTTTCTAAGGCAGTTTTGAGGTGGGCTGCTGGTGTCAGCTATGCTTACGCTGAGTCACTGTGGGTTTAGAAAGTTGGGGTGAAGGTGTTGAGGATAAAAGGAATTCACACACAGAGGCAGCAGATTCAGAGGTCCAAAGTGGGGCAGGGGTTCGGCATATTAGGGAACTGAAAGAAAGTTGGAGTTACTAGCATATGGGGTGCAAGGGAAGAGGTCTGATGGGTAGGCGAGAGCTGCATTCGGGAGTCTGTGGTCGAGCCTTGGAAATTTATCCTGAGGGCAGTACAGGTGGTAGGTAGGGGTGCAGCTTGATAAGATTTTTTTTAACTCACACCTGCTGCAGGGAGAGGGGAAAGAGCAAACGTGAAGGAGCGAGGGGATGAGGGAAGACCGCTGCAGTCACTCAGATGGATGCTCTGTTCATGGTGGCTCCCGCCAGGGCGGCTGTGGTAGAGGTGGGAAGAAGAGGAGGAATTCAGGAACTATTCGGTGAGGTCGGATGTACAGGAGTCTGCGATTCGCTGGAGAGGGAGGTGCTGAAGACCAGAAGGGAATGGAAGGAGGAGGGCTTGCCTGTGGAGCAGGGGCCCTGGGCAACTGGAGGCAGAGTCAGTTCCCAGCGCTTTGGGCAGTTTGGCGAGTAGCCACGGTGAGAGCAGAAGTTTGAATGCCGGGGCCGGATCTCGGCCTCTGTGCCGAGAACTGTAGAACCCGAACTAGACTCCTCAGTGTCTGCTCAGCGCCTGTCTGTTACACAGTACGGTGGATGCGCCTGGCTCAGAACCAGACCAGTGTGAGCTTCTCAGTCCCCTTTTCCAGCCCGCAGGTGTCGCTGCTGCAGTCCAGCCTTTTCCTGTCACTGGCAGTGTCACGGGTCCCCTCCCGTTGTCCTTTGTTCGGTGCTTCTCCCCGCATCAGAATGGAATCCAGACTCTGTCAGAGTCTGCTCGTAGACGGTTCTCTGCTTTCCCGTCAGCCTCATCTCATTACCCCCCTCCCATCTGTGGCCGGGCCGTTTCCACTGGCCCGCTCCGCACTTGCTGCTGCCACTCCTCGTTCCAGAGTTGCCCCCTTCCGTCCTTCTAGTCAGAGCTTTCTCAGGCGGGGTGCTCTTCTAATTCCAGCTCTCCAGTGTAGGTTCTAGGCTCTTCTGCCTCTCCCTTTTATTTATTAGTATTAGTATTAATAATCCAAAATGAATGCCACGTCACTTTGTGTTGCTCTAGCATTTTGCTTCAGATCTTGTTGCTGTCAAGATTTAATGCCGCCCCCCCACCCCCACCCCTGCAACCCCCACTTCCTGGTTCCTGCTCTGATGTTCTAGTTGTTTCCACGTCTCTGGAGGGTTTACTCCTCTCTGCAGCTTCCCGCAGTCTTCATGCATATGGAATGAATCCAGGTTTGGATCTAGTCTTTTCTTTCTTAGCAAGAACCTCCCAACCATCACAAACGAAAGCTGTTTGATTTCACGTGTGTGAATTCACTTTCTGTGCCTGATACTGCGATGTAGTACACTGCTCTCCGCCCAGGGATGTCACTGAAAGGCAAATCTTGCTTTTCGCCGGGCGTTGCAGGATTCAGAAAAAGTCCTGCCTCTGTTGATTTGCAGGATAGTCCTGCTCCCGGGTTCCTGGCTACACACCTTTCCTGACACTGAATTAAAATTTTGTTTGTGTTGATCGGGTTTGGGGACAGTTGCCAAGTCTGGGAGGGTCAGGAGGGCAGTCAGAACACAATGATTTCCCCTTGTAAGTAAGTCCATTATTAGCTGTCAACCTGGACAGCACCCTTAAATTGAAAAGAAGTATTCTAGAACTTACTGTCCCCTAGTGTTAGGAACCATACTTTTCCTTGCGGAAATGATGTTTCATTTACAATTCATGAAATGTGTTTTCACCCTTCTCTTCGAGCTGTTGCATTGCACTTTGGGGACCTGAGTGACTGACACAGAAGTTGCTCATGAGATTTTAAACTGGGGCGCTTCTAAATTCATACCGCCTTAAATGATGTGCACCATAGCCACCCTATGGCTGGAGCCTCTGTCTGTCTGGCGAGGCTGTTATTGATCATGCCTTGTTAATAGTTCACACTACAAAATAGTTGCTGAATGAATGTATCAACAGTGATTAAATGCATGATGAATGAATGCGTAGCATCAAACACTGGGCTCCTCTGTGACACTTTGGAACTTGCATTTAAAACACAGGGAGCAGCCTTGCCATCACATCAGTTTCTTACGTTAGCGTCTTACAGTGTCACTATCCAGTTGGTATGCCTTTCAGAGCTGATGAATGGAGAAACTTATTTGGTAGATACTGTTTCTTAAAAAACTTGATTGTAGGGAATACCTGTGGAATATTATAGTAGTTTTAGTTTTAAGTATAAGAAATCATTACAGACTTGGAAGTTAGTGACTAATTTTGTTAAGTATGCAGTTATTGGACATGTTCTGAGATTTTATATATTTAGGTCATTAATTTGTTGATATTGTCTTACCCCAGTTTACCAGTCTGTAGAATGGGGGTAATAGTAGTTTCTGTTTTATAGGGCTGTTGTGAGAATTAACAGTAAACATATAAAGCATTTAGGATAATACTTAACACATAGAAAATACCCAAAATGTGCCCTGGCTGGTGTGGCTCAGTAGACTGAGCTCTGGCCTGTGAACCAAAGGGTCGCCAGTTTGATTCCCAGTCAGGGCACATGCCTGGGTTATGCGCCAGGTAGAGGTGACTATACATTGATGTTTCTCTCCCTCTCTCTTTCCTTTCTTTCCCCTCTCTAAAACTAAATAAATTAAATCTTTTTTTTTTTTTTTAAAGAAAATACTCAAATGTTAGCTAAAAAAAAAAAATAGACAAGGTCCTAACCATCCTTTGAAAGGTGGGTGTCCTCATTTATCAGGCTCTTGTGAGCTTGTAGTTAAGAAAATTTCTTTAACTCTGTGACCTTAGGTCAAATTCAGACTTATTTGACCATGATGTATTCTTTAGAGATTTTGTATATCATAGTGGCATAAGATTTTTTTCACACCTCTTTAAAAATGTTAGTGAAAGGGAAAAGTAATCCTGTGGCATTCAACATTCATTTCAGCTTCTTTTAGGTAAAAACAAAAGGTTTTACTGAGTGGCAAGGTGATGGTTTTGTCTGTGGGTCTTTTTCTTTCCTTTTTTTTTTTAAGGAATTAACTTATTTTTCAAGTAGATCTTAAAATTTAAGCCTCAATTAATAACATGTAGCTTTCTGATCCAAGACTGACCTTGCAGCATGAACTCCAAGCACATTTCATTTGGTTCTCCTGCGGCAGTCCAGTACCGTCAGACCTGCTGTCTTCATTTGCCCCTTCTCTTTAATCTCCAGCATCCTGCATATTTCTATTGTCCTCCTGATCACATGCCTTTGTGAGACAATTACCAGCTGCACAATGGCAGAAAGACTTACAAAACATGCCATGAGCGCTCCGTGGGCGACCCTTGCAGATTTGTTAGAACTACTTAATAGTTTAGAAGTCCATATAGATTGCTTTTTGCTGGTTCTAAAACAGGGTCGGTGAGAGAGAGAGCTGGTGGAGCTCTAAGCTCGTGTTGCCCTCTGTGGTGCCCGAGTAGGGAATCTGATAAGAGTGATTTCTTTCCCTTATGGCCAATTAAGCCTTTACATCGGAAAAAGACTAAGAAATTAAAGGCTGGTTAAAATCTGTACACAGGACTGATAGTGGCACTTCTCTGAGTTGTCACTGTGATTCTGGCAGGCAAAAATAAAAAAGAAACTACTTTAAATTCCTGCTATGTTAGACGCTGCAGCAGATTTGAATGGTGGGGACCATAATTCTCCATCTGTCCGCCTTAAGTAGTTTTGTGTGGTGCATTTAATGGGGTCTCAGCCATTCCTTGGAGCGCTTCTCTGTGGGCTCCGTTCCTGTTGCTATGCAGCTCTTCCCAAGTCTCTCTCAAGATGGCAGCGTTTTTGAACACCAGATGGGGTGTTTTTGGAAGATTTTAAATTCCCAGGAAGAAATTCCATACCCAGACCAGGTGCTTATATGACAGGTTTAGACTTTATCTCCTTTGGTTTGGAATAGGGTGGCAAAAGCACTGTGTAGTGAATTATTTAAGTACTCAGGTATTTAGTAAGGGAAGGAGTAAGCAAATGAATGAATGAATTTCTGTCCGTAGTAATTTTGTCTGTCCCCATGTTGATGTTTGTGGGCCATCAGCAGAAGCTGCCCAGGAAAATGCTACTTAGTGGCACATAGGGGATAGACCCACAGTTTTGTTCTTTTTATTTTCTGACTTTGCTGCCATTTTTCCCATGTTGCCTGGCAAAAAGTACTTCTTTGTTTTTTTTCTTTCTTTGACTTCTGGGCATGAAAAGTGCTGTCTGGATATTTTAATTCCCAGCTTTTCAATGGCTTGTGAGGGTGGCAGAACCCATTCGAAGTCGGGACTGAGTGAGAAAGCCCAGGCTGTGCAGTGAGTGTCGCAGGGGCCCCATCGCGGTGGTGCTTGCAGAGGCGGGCGGATGGCGCCGTGTGGGCCTCTCTGAGCGGGTCCCCTGGGCACGGGTATTAGCGGATTAACTACCCAGGGTCAGTGGGTGCCGGCCATGTAGCAGAAAAGGGAGCCATCTTGTAGGCCACCTCCGGGCAAAGCCTGCCGTTTCAACAGTTAGCTTGGGGATGTAGTTGTGATTCCTCCACTTAGAAGTCATCCTTTTGGGGCTTAGTTATTTCTGCTCAAATAATGAAAATATCCACAGCCATTTAAAGCCAGAACGTTACGAGCCTGTCAGTAGGTAGAGACTGGTTGAGTGGCCGCAGTGTGCCTCATCGTGTGGGGTCTTACTGAGGATGCTAATGGGAAGGTCGTTATGGGACGTTTACACTGAAATACATCGGCTGCAGTGAGTTACATGGGCGTAAACACAAGATCCAGAACTGCGTTAACAGTGATACGTCTTCAAAAATGACTCACTGCTTTCGGTCAAGCTGTTCTGCAAAAGAGACAAATCCCCATGCTCTGAACCACAGGGTGACGCTCAGCACAGTTGCATTCTTCTGACTGATACATATTTCAACAGCTTCATTGTTTTTGCAGCAACATAGCCCACAGGGTAGACAATAGACAGTTGAAATTTTTAAATCAAACTTAAATTACTTCATGACAGTCATCTTTGGATGTATGTTTTCTTTTTAACATGGACAATTTTAAAAGACTTGAAAAGGGTTTACTTAAATGTTTCCTTCCCACGTGCTTCCTAAACAAAGATGGAGTTTAAACACGGATTTTACCCATTTGCTGCTTGTCTTTTGTCTGAATTTCTTTCAATAAGTAAAAGAATCTTTTTTGATCTTTTATTTTCTAGTGGACTTTTTGGTAGTTATTCCTTCTTTGGGCTGATTTCTTTGACATATGATGTACTATAACTTATAAAATACTTTTCAGATAAATATGAATGATTATTTGGGGCTAGTTACAAAGTTACATTTTTATTTTTTAATTTTATTTATTTATTTTTAAATTGATTCTAGAGAGATAGAGAACAGTATCGACTTGTTATTCCACCCATCCATGCATTCATTGGTTGCTCCTTGTATGTGCCCTGACCGGGGATTGAACCCACAACCTGGGCATATTGGGACGACGCTCTAACCAACTGAGCTACCTGGCCAGGCCCAAGTTGGGTTTTTGAAAACCTGCATAAATTCATTCTGCTGACAAAGGGGACAAAATCCACTTTGATTGTTTAACATAGACGAGCCAGTATTGATTTCCAGGCTCTAAATTAGACCTTAAAATTTATAAACCTTTTTCAAAACAGATTATTTATTAAAAGGTTTTTATGAAAAATATGTTGCTACCTGGTCGCTATTAACCTTAAATCGTTGGTATTTTGTGACTTTGTCTGAAAAATGACTGTGGTTAATTACATAGTGAAATCTTTTGAAGTCACCACGAATAGGAAGTAACTGTTCTCTTATGGCGTGTGCTGATTTGTGTGTATGTTCTTTGAACAGCTGAAGAGGTCACCGATCTGAAGAGGCAAGCAGTTGAAGAGATGATGGATAGAATTAAAAAGGGAGTTCATCTCAGGCCCGTCAGCCAGACAGCTAGACCCAAGGCGCAGGTACGGAATCACTGAGTGCTTGTTCTCTTCCTTGGTGTTTCTGTTTTCAAATGGGAAGTTTCGAAGTGTGACGCAAGCTCTATCAGGACTGACTGTCAAATCTTAGGATAAGGCTAATGTGCCCTAAAAAACCTTTATTTCCATAGGCATGTTTCAGGGGGGACTCTACTTGGCCCACAGTGGGCCTAAATCACCATGGAAACCAGGTCCTGCTGTCACAGGTGCTGGCTGGCATCAGCCTGACCGAGACACTGATGGGAACTGGTATACCCAACAAATCACGATTGCTACATGGTTTCTTTTCTTTAATTACTGACTGGTGGTTTTGTAGAATTTAACAAATATTTATTGAGTACCTACTATGTGCCAAGTACTATTTTAGGGACTGAGGATAAAGCAGGAAACAGGAGAGACACAAATTCTTGCCTTCCTGAGGCTTCTATTTTTGTCTGTGTCTTTTGGTGGGGGGCAGGGGGCAGGGGGCCTGGGAGTAAGGAGTCACATAATAATGCCAGAACAGACCTAAGACAGCTTTTGAGAAATCATTACATGTATGTGATCATTTTCACTTGATTTCACAAACTTTTTCCAGGTCACTTCAAGGAGAAAATTTTGTGCAGGGGAAAGGAAAAAGAAATACACATACACACACACACACACACACACACATGTATTTATACATATGTATAAATAAGATCATCAACTTTAAGACCCCAGTGAGCACAGGATCTATCGAATCACAGAGTCTAGTTCAGTACTTCTTCTTTCCCTGTGTATGTCTTGTTGCATTTCAGGAGACCTAGTAATAGATATTTTGACATTTTTCTTGAAAAATAGTTTTCTTTTTTCACTTTAGTAAGGGATCAACAGATCGGTTCTCTTTCTTCTACTTTTAAAACAAACTTTGTTTCTTTTTTACTCTCAGAGATGCCCCTCTCCAGCTGCTCCATGTCCCCAAGTGTCAAAACCGTTCAGTACAAATTCTGCCGGGCCTTGAAAGTTGCCCCTTTGTCACAGGCAGGCAAGACTGCCAGGCCAGGCAGGAACGGGCACTGCGTGGGCTGTCGGGGGTGCAGGGGTGGGGGTTGGAAGGGTGGCAGGAGTACTCAGCTGCAATGTAGATTGACACCTAGTGAAGGAAAGCTTCCGCCAACAACCACGAAGAGTAATTCCACCTCGTGCTCGTGAAAGCAGTTTTCTAAGTTGGGGGTGGGGGCGAACGCAGAAGTCAGGCCGAACCTAGAGCCGGAAGAGAGGCTGAGGGTGGAGCCCGTGCGTGCGGCACAGCCTGGGGCACAGCCGTCTCAGGGCTGGTGTCTGGGGACTGAGTGCCGGGTGCCGTCCCTGGAGTTGGGGCCTCCCATTCTCCCCACTGCCCGGGCTGGTTCTCCCCCAGCGGGAACAGCACCTGCGCTGCCAGACTCACTGGGTCCTTGTCCCCATCAAACAGAATACAGTGTGAAAACGCTTTAAGATGCAGGGTCCAAGTGGAACCTTGGAAAAGAACACATTCTTAGGACTTTCGTGTCACAACTCTGTTGGAGAGAAGCAGCAAAACTGTGCCATTACTAAAGAAAACAGTGTGACTAAGCAGTGTAATTAAGAAGCAAAATTAGTTTAGAAAGAAAAAAAATGTTGAAAACTTCTTAAATCCTAAGTAATCAATGTTCCGTATGTACTCTTCCAACAGTTACACATTATTTAATGTCCATTCAAAACCTCGAAGACACCCGCACCAGGATCAGTGGACGAGCGGGTTTTTTGCTGGTAATCATTAATCTGTGGAGAGGTAGTGCCGAATGACCCGGTCAGTCACCTTTCAAACGAGCAGTCACTGCGTGCCGGGGTACAGACTTCTCCCCGCAGTGACCTCGGGGCTTTCCTGGCGTGTCCCGAGTGCGAGAGCCCGCGGCCTGGGCTGCAGCGCCTTCTGCAGCCAGAGGTGGCGGCGTGCATGGCATGGCGGCGCTTTGGAGCATGCCTTCAGCCACATCCTTCATTCAAAAGTCACAGCTTGTGCCCTGCAGAAGTCAAGCCTGCCTTGAGAATACTAAGTTCACTGCGAATTTGCAAGATTCCTCGCTGCTGTTGGCAGTGCTGGTGTGGTTCAGATTAGTGTGTGAGAGCTTTAGGTGGGCACAGATGGTGTGTATACTTCAGAGAAAACCTAGGCTGAGAAAGTTGAACGCCTTAGTCTGATTTGTCCACGAGCAGCAAACCTCTCTCTCCTTCCCCCTCCCTCTGTCTCTTTCTCACTTCCCTGTTATTGTCCTTTTTAAAAAATTGGAAGGGGATCTTATTCTTTATTATCTTCGGAGAGGAAAAAATTATAGGTTGCTATGAATCACCGCCCCCCCCCCTCCAATTTCTTGATGAGAGAGGAATTAACCTTAGCTTTTTTCTCGGCACTAAAGAGCCTTGGGGGCCCTTTCCCTGTCTTGCAGACTTCCCTTCCTCTCTATCCTTTGTGAAATGAAGAAGTACCAGGGAGATCAGAGGTCTTTTTTTGGTCTTTTTCATGAGGTCCTCATGCTAAATTTTCCATCCATTAAATTACCTGAGGAATCCAGAGACACTATGAGGTGTTCCGGGGCCAGTAAATATCACCCAGAACTTCGTTTCGGATTGTCTCATTCATGGTGTAGCCAGAAGAGAACTGGGCTTGTAATCAAAACGCCGACTCACGTGCACTCTTCCTCGAGGTGTTACTCTCCCCGTGGGCCACACACCCTCTGAGGCCTTTCGCCGTCTGGTAGCCAGGGATGCTAAGGTGCTCCTGTAAGCCCGTTCTCCCGACCCGGTCCTGTTGTGGAATTCCTGAAACGGGGCGTGCCCGTTCTCTGGGCCCGGCTTTCGCCGGGAGCTCGTGGAGCCGAGAGAGGTTTTCTGCCTGCCGCTTGCCTTCTGCTCTGCAGCCTCCCTCGCCCTCACTTGCCGGCGGGAGCCCCGCCCTGTGAGTGCAGAAGCTTAGCGTCAAAAATTCGAAATAATTCGACATCAAGCCTTCGAAATCTGGTGCTAACCAGTTTTTTTCTATGGGTGATGACAAATAAGAAACACAATGGTATTTAGAATATGGCGGCTTGAGTCCTTTTGCTTGGAATATTGCTGCTAATTTTCTATTTAACTGCCCCTAGGGAGTACTAACCCTGTCTAATATTTTTTCCTAACAGTAGGACATAGACCTAATTCGAAGAAATAGTGAAGATAAGCTGTAAACACTTTGTCTTGTGAAATGTTTGTGGAGTATATTAAAAGTGAATTACTCAGTCAATTGTTTTTTTTTTTTAATTGTAGCCAGAATCTTCCAAAGGCTCTGAAAGCGCAGTGAATGAATTAAAAGGAATACTGGTAAGAATAGAACTCAGTTTATTATTCACTTAATGGGAAAATGAAAGGAGGATGTTTTTGAAGTGGACTGCTATGAATGATTGGTTTGATATGTTTTATTTCCACGTCCAGTTGCCTCGTTTCTTTTGATAGTTTGTTTGATTGAATTATGGCCTTCCCATCAGGCGTGTTATTAAGGTACTCTGCTGTCTCTATTCTGAAAGAATGGTTCCACTCTCACCAAAATCATGGTTTCTTGTTCTTACCCTCCAGTCCTGGCATCACAGCTTGAAGGTAAAATGTCTGGCCAGATGCGAGGAGCTGGTCCATGCTTGTTAATACCGGAAATAGAGCAGAGTCCCTTACATGAACGGTGCTTACCTTTGGGGCGTGAGAGTGGAATTCTTGGCTCCTGAACGTAAATCTGAGCCCCTGCCCAAATATGTTCCCAACAGGGTCAGTCTGCTTTTTCTCACAGTTTATAAGATTTGATGGTAAATTGGAGAATAAAATAAAAAGTCCCCTTCTTCAACATTACTAGTTTTGCTTTCTGAAAGCTATTCCTGTCCATTGGAGAACACCTCTAATGCCCACCTCCAGCTGTATTCGCCCTTCCATCGTAATGAGCTTTTGCCCACTGAGTAAATGAGCACTGCCCTGTCCAACAGTTGCTGTCAGAGACGAACGCCTCACTTAGGAAATGTTTCAGATACTTAGTGCTCTGTTCTCCGATCCCGTTAGAGCCTCAACAGCAGTCATTATGCACAGTAAGTCAGCAGATCCGGGGGCGGGGGCGGGGTTCGGGACTAGTGCTCCTGTGTTTGTTGTTACTGCGCTAATTGCGCGTTGCATGTAGACATCCCCATAATTGCAGTAAACAGAATTATTTTCATCAAGCACGAAACAGTACACTTAACTCAGAATGGCTTAATTAGTTAGCTTTAGTTTTTGGCGAGTGAAATTAGCGCGAGAGAGGTATAGCAGTGGCTAGCAGTACTGGTCTGCCTACAGGGTCAAGTAAAACCATTGGAAAACCGTGTGGCTATCACCTAAGGGATTCTTTGAGGAGACAGTTTTGTCACCCAGTGTTCTGTTAAGGAGACCTCTCCATGACAGTCCCCACCCCCCACCCCCCCTTTTTTTTTTGTCTCTGCGTTACATTGCTAATTCCTGTTCAAGAAAATGTCCCCCAGGGCATCATGAGGTTCTAGAGTGTAGTTCTGATCAACAGTGAAAGAGTCAACTATACCAAGTGTGACTTTTTAAAAATTAGGTCGATTTGAAAAATCAGACATCTGCACCAGACCTGTGTGAAATGTGACGGGCCAGGGCGTGCCGCGTCCCAGAATGCTGGTGGCGGCGAGCTTCCTGAGGTGGCCTTGCTCTGAAAGATGATCGTAGTCACTGCGTAATGCCGTTCGCCAGCATCTGGTGCCACTTCAGGGAGAGACATTTTTGAAAAAGATTTTTGTGCAATAATTTATGAATTATAAAAACTGTCAAAACAAAACATCTTTTTTTCCCCCCTGTAGATTGCCCCTGTCCTCCGTGTCTGGATTTGTCGTTAGATTTCTCTGCCTTGTCTGGCATTGTCATCAGAATAACATTTATTCTGATGACATTATTTCTTTACATTAAGTGGCTTTTTTTTTTAAGAGGAACTCACAGTGTCCTCCCCTACTCTTCTTTGCCAAATGGCAACTCTCTGCCACCCCCATAGAAGTCCCTCTGTGGGGGTGCATCACTCGTCACCTGGTGCCAGGAAGCCGTACCACGTCTCGTAAGAGAGAGAAGAAGGAAGCCCCTATCACATGGGCTGTATTAGTGCCTTTTGCTGGGGCTCAGACTGTGAGGATCCTCAAATTTAGTACCCAGCAAAGACACCAGCCTCACAGCTGTGACATGTGAGAAATACACGTGAAAAGCCCACAGGTTAGGAGGTGAGCATCTGTGCCCAGAGATGCCAAGAAGCCAGGAAGCAGCCTGGTCAGCACCACTGCGGAGCAGAAAGCAGGGGCAGACCCAGTGGGGAGGTGCCCGCTGAAGTGAGGGAGGCGGGGCCTGAGCTGCAAGCACACCCGGGACCCAGGGGTTGGGCCTGGGGCTGGCAGTTAGCGCCCGAAGAGGAAAAAGGCCCTGGCCAGGAAAACTTCACTGTATTTTGAGTTGTAAAGCTTTCGAGCCAATTTTTTCCCAGTCTATTTTCACTTAATCAAAAAAAAAACTGTATATTGTAAATTTAAAAATATATGCTTCATTCCTTGTAGTCACACAAGGATTTTGAGGTGACAGAAACCTCTTGAGTCTTCCCAGTGATTTAGAAGTCACTCGGAGCGGAAATGGCAATTTCTGAAGACTAAATCCATACAGGTTAATCTAAAAGTCTCTTTTCAAATCCAGTGGCCTCTAAATCAAAGAAACAAAAGTAGCGTTTGAAAAAAATTCTCTTACAGGTCTTTCTCAAACATCTTCAGTTTTTTCAAAGTACCCAAAAATTGTCAAAGAGCTAATTTTGCTACTGACAATTAGATTACTCAGTGTTTATGAACATTTAGCTAACATGGAAACTAGTATTGTTAAATGATCAAAGTGGTTTGAAACAGGAATAGAATATTGGTTTGGGAATTCGAAGAGCCAAGTTCAAGGTCAAGCCCCAAGGCCCTTTTCTCTGTAAGGTGAAGGAATTGTATATACCACATGGTCCCTAAGTTAATTTCTGGTTCTCAAAATCTATGGTTATAATATAAATAGATGATTAAGATCATCTTAGTATTTTATTAGCTGAGCTCCTTTGTCATTTTGGTTGAGAGTCATGCAGAAACCTTCCTTTTCATAATTGGCTCCATATTTAAAGTTTACTTATAAATTAGCTGAATTAACTGTATCAGTCAGCGAGTGGAGAAAAATTATGGGATTCAAGGATTTGAACCTGGGAGGGAGAGGGTCATTCACTACAGTCAGGAATTTGGGAAAATAATACTGTTGTCTAAATGAAAAATGGAGAATATCGTGAAAGAGAAATTCTTCAATAAAAGATATTCATTGACTCCAGCCATTGGGAGAATCACACAGAATGTCCTTGACATTTAAACAACGTAGTACTAGTTTCATGAGTCGTTTTAATAAAAATGGCCATACCTTTTAAAAAGATCTGTTTGCATGTGATACAGCTGGTAAGTTTTTAAAAATTATAAACAAATGATTTGACAATAGTTTTTCTAATACATTTTTAAAAATTAATCTAAATTGTTTTTAGTTCTGTGTTACCAGTGTTTATCCTATCTTATTCTATACCTCTTAGATGAGTAGATACGGACCTGCTTGTTAACTGTCAAATAAACCCAGTAACTTGGAAATGATACAATGAGCTGTTACAGTGTTACATATAAAGTAGTTTTCCTTTGGGTGTATTTTATAAACATGTGCAGTAAAGGAAGAGCAGAAAGACGTACTTCGGGGTGGGGACGAGGAGCGGGTGTGTGCTGGATTCCATTGTGAGCCCCGTGTAAGCACTTTGCGCCTCGGTTTAGGTCGGGCACCTGGCAGGGAAAGGATGCAGTCTCCCATCCTCGTTAGGCAGGTTCCTCCCCGGTGGCAGGCTGCTGGTCCGCAACTGTGCTGTTAGGGGAAAGCACCTTTCTGCATAAAACAGCACAGTAGCCTGTGTCACCGAAGATTTGTAATCACCTGATTTTACAAAGCTTTTGGCTTTATAGGCTCAAGAAGAAACACGAGTTATCATGTTTAGCCAGTTAGAATTCTCGGACTCCTCAAGGAGTTAGCAGGGAACACAGTGCAGGAGTAAGGCGGGCCTGTGCTGAGCTCAGGAATGACCCGGGCTGGCCTGGTCCTCAGCCTCGGTGCACGAAAGCCGCCTTCTTACTCTAATACCAAGTCGGGCAAGTTGTACCAGGCGTGGGGTTCTGATTTGCTCTGACCGAAATATTGTGCTTCTCCTGGCTTTGCTTCTCCCCAAGTCTGTGGCACAGGTGAGGAAGACTATTTCAAAGAAATGGTGTGTGTTTCTTATGAAAGAAAATGGACCACTCGTGGTGGTGGACTGCCAAGCCCTTGCACATAAGAAGCCCCTCAGCTAGTGTTCTGCTCAGACACGTGGTCGCGGAGGTGGGAAGCCACACCCCTCCCTCCACGGCACCCGTCCTAGAGCCGCCAGGGCGGGGAGCCACTGCCCGGGCCTTTCTCTGCCGCCTTGAGGGGCAGGACCAGTCTCAGCAGGAGCACAGCCTTGCGGCATCTCTTGTCCCCTTTGGCGTCTCCTGGGCCCTGAATAGCACGTTCACTGCCTCCATTGCTAGGATTCTGGAGTTCCCGTGCCGGGCCCTTCCTGGCCTCCCTGCCAGAGCCTCACCTTTCCTCTTGCACGAAGAAACCGCACTGTGCTCAGTGCAGCGTATCTTCGGGCGGGCCACGGAGAGCCTTACGTGCCTCCTTCGGCAGCCACGACACCACTGTCACCCGTTGTGCAGGCAAGGTCATTCTCTCTGAAGAATCAGCTGCCCATTTCTCAGTGCCCCGAGGGTTTCGGCTCTGTAGCGCGTGGCTGTCACGTGAAGATAACCACCTAAGGTGAGTTCAGCACGTCAGTGCTCTTCTCCACACGGCGGAGCAGCACACATCCGGTCTTAATCATCGAAGTGCAGGGGTGCAGGTGCCTTCCCGCCCCTGAACTTCGTCCAGGTAGCTCGTCACGGGTGTTCTTGTCCTGGTCTTTTGATACGGGAGCCAGCATCTTACTACATCATCGTCAGCATCTTCTTCAGTGGTCCACTGAGTGTTGAAGCGCGCCCATTTGAGATACGTACATACACGTAAAGTTCGTTTTATTTTCTAATTCCATTCAAATTCTGGTAACGTTTTGGTGGTTTGATTTTTATATTCTTTTGTGTATTGTATTAAGCCATTAACCTTTTTGTTTTTGTTTTGTTTTCACTTTAGGGGACACTTAACAAATCCACTAGCTCGAGAAGCTTAAAATCCCTTGACCACACTGAAAGCAGTGAGACTGAGTTAGAGAGGATTTTGCGCCGCAGGAAGGTGACGGCAGAAGCAGACAGCAGTAGTAAGCTGGTTTGACTTCTCCGCGCTCTCCTCTTCCTCTCTGGAGCCTCTTCCTTTGAGTCCCCTTTTAACCTGAAGTTACCCTTTCAAATGACGATTAAATTTTTTTAATGTGAATGAGAAGTATTGGATGGTCAAAGGCATTTATGGCTGTCTCATAAGTATGCTGATGTTATTTTTTTTTTATTGGCATGTGTACTTGTTTATTTGTAGGCACTCAGGCCTTTATAGATCTGGATTTGCTTAATGCAAGATGCCCTTGCATTAAGCAGAGACATTCAGGATGGGATTTGGCAACAATGTAGCATGGAGTACAGGCTCTGGAAGTAGACTGTAGTTCGAATCCTGGCTCTGCCATTTACTAGCTGCTTCCCCTTACACAAGGTACCTACCTCTCTGTGCCTCAGTTTCTTCATCTGTAAAGTTAGGGTACTAAAAGCATTGCCCCATCAGATTATTCTAAGGATTAAGTCGGTCACTGTATGGGAAGTGCTTGGCACTGTGCCTGGCAGACAGTCCGCACACACACGATCCTCAGTAGTAATAGTAGAAATTACACATCAGTTACACATGCAGAGAAATCATCTCAGTTCTTCGTACCCAGCTAGTTTAGTGTCTCTGCCTGCGAATGAGAAATTCCAGCTCTGTCACCAGCTGTGACCGTCTGAGCAAGTCTTGCACTCACCGTTGGTATTCGTGTCGTGATACGCGTGGATTGGATGTCAAAATCAGTTCCCACACTAACCTCGTGTGTCCGTTTTTCCCCATCCACTTAATCGTGGGAATTAGCAGAAACCTTTCTGAGGTTTTCTTCTTGTGCCTGGGAGGCTGGCTTTGAAAAACTAAAGTAAAATTAATCCGCAACTACAACCAATAGGCTGCATCGTTTGGACTCGGTTGAGTCAGGTCCGGTCCGTGTAGCCCATTGTAACGGTTTCACTTGCACTGCCGCCGCGTGCACGTCAGGTTCAAGTTGCTAGAATATTAAGGAATCGGGCGTTTGGTAATCATGCCGTAGTTTTCACATAGGGACTTAAACAATCAAGTTAACCTAGAAGCCTCATCACACCAGCCAAACCTTTATTATAAAAAGATGAAGCTTTTGTTTTCTTCTTAAAAAAAAATAATCAGTTTTCAGTTTGGCCTGGAAGCTTTGCTGTCACTATCCCATCAGAACCCCCCTTCCCCAACCTCTCAGGAGAGTTAAGGGGTGCCATGAGAGTGTTCTTTTTCCTTAGGATTGGTTTCCCAGCATTCAGCCACCTCTGTCATGAGTATTCATCTGGCGACTTAACCAGTGCGTGGTTTTTCCAGCGTTTCATCCTCCATGTACTCACATAGCCGCTGCTGATTGTGAGGTCTCTGTGGAGGCCACTGTCGGGCTCGGCCATGTACCTGTTTTATTTTGCCACTGACATTTTTGCTCCTGCAGAAGCATCCTTACCTCCAGCATAAACTCGGTCAGACATGAAGCACTCACTGTTTCAGAGTGACTTTTCTGTGGGAGAAACCAGGGGACATTTTCATTTTAGTCAGTATGGAAATTTGAATAATTCAAAGTATAAGAGAAGGTGGAGATATGTTTTATGGGCATGGTGAGACTCTTATTTTATTGGTCATATTCCATCAATATACAGACATTTAATAAATCATTTGAGGGATGTTAGAATAAGCTATCTGTTCAATAGAATCACTATTTAGATAGAGAGACGATAACTTTGTAATGGCAGGATAGAGAGGATACACATACTGAGGAGAGTAACTTGTAATTGAGCAGAAATTTTATTTTGAGCTCCCTAGTAGCCAAACCAAAAAAAAAAGGGGGGGGCGGGAAGCAAACCTACAAACTCTATAATCTAGTAAAAGAAGTACCTTTATAAAAAGATGGTATGGATGTTTTCCTAGCATCAAACTGGAAGAGGTACTTACCATATAAGCCTTCTAAAGGCCATGGAATGAGAAAGCGAAAATTCTAGGACAGAAGGGGTGGGTTAGGAAGCTAATGCAGCCAGCTGCATGGTGAGAACAAATGACAGCGATGAGTTTGATACATTTGAGCCTCAGGTTCACTTGAATCTCGGGGATGTTTTTTCCACCACACACAAAGGTTTATGGGAAGGCTAAATGTGGGGTCACAGAGCAGAGAAAGGAGGCGTCTAAGAGAAGCAGAGGCAGCCTGAGGTTTGCAGAGCTCAGGTCCCAGGTTAGTTGGTATCTGCCCCAGAGGCCCGTGAAGCACATTTTTCTTTATAATTTTTCTTACGGACCTGACTGATACTCCCATTGTTTACCTAGACTTGGGGCCGAGCAAACTGACATTTCAAAGAGCAGCAAGGGCCTCTTGGAAAACACTGGGCGGCTTAAGCAGGATGCAACGATGATAATAATCTTACACATTATGCATTTTTCCATATTTCTTTTTGTTTGTAAGAAAAGGAAGAGCTCTAGCCCAGCTCACCCACTCCCCTTTTTAACTGGCTTCAGCTGCGGAACACGCAGTGGGCGGTAGTGTGTTCAGAAGCACATCTTTTCCCCACAAGGACAGGTTGTCTGGAGTGTCCAGTGTTGCAGTTGGCAGTTACCCAAGGGCAGAACAGAGCTGCTCTGGAGCTATTCTTAAAGTCAGCTTCATGTTTATATTTTTAGGATCTTTCTTTCTTGATCTCTGTGCCCTTCCCTGTCTGCCCCCACATCTCCGTGCAGCATGAGGCATCTCCACGTAACACAGGTGGGCGGGAAAGGCCTTTCCAACCCGAATACCCAGTGTCCCCAAGTTGTCCGCCCAGATGCTGCGGACGGAATCAATGAGGAAGAACAGACGCTGGTGCTTCGGGAGCTGAGGCTTGCAGCCAGTCCTGAGCGGGTCTGTATCTCCCACACGGAGAGAGGCTGAAGCAGGTGCCACAGCGGAGTGGCCGAGCCATTTAAATTAGGGCTTCATTTTTGCAGTTGATGCGTTACACTGTTGTCATAATCAGCCACATTCGTGTACAAATGAAAGAACAGAATCCCAGAGCTTTATGTCGAAGAGGGATTCGCTGGCGTTTCTGGATTGCACCCACTTTGCACCACTTTCTTTTTTAGGGGATGGTCTCACATTTCTTAAGGCATATCCCAATTTTGTCCTCTTTTTTTTTTAAGTGTAGCTTTTTTTTCATCTCTCTTTTTTTAAGATTTTATTTATTTATTCTTAGAGAGGGATGGGAGGGAGAAAGAGAGAGAGAGAGAGAAACATCAATGTGTGCTTGCTGGGGGTTAGGGCCTGCAACCCAGGCATATACCCTGGCTGGGAATCGAACCTGCAACACTTTGGTTCGCAGCCCACATTCAATCCACTGAGCTACGCCAGCCAGGGCTCCAATTCTGTCCTCTTTTGGTTAGCACTTTTCCAAGTTGTCCTCGGGTTTCATTTTTAGAGGTTCTAATTTTATTTGTCCATTTGTGACTTATTTTGTAAAAATCTCTTTGTTTTAAAAGGATTCCTTTTGAAGTGTCAATACATACCAGAATCTTGTTTTGAAAAAAAAAAAAAAGGTCTGGGATAGTATCTTTCAAAAGATAGAAAATGAGTCACAATGGAGCTTAGCTTCAACACCAGAATTTCTAGGTTGATAATGCCAATAATTTCAGTGGTCAGGCCTGTTGCGGTTTTTTAAAACCTGCCCCAAAGAGCAGAAAAGTCTGACAGGTAAACAGCCAAACTCTTTGCCACTTAGTTTTTGTAATCCTGTGTCTGCATATTAACAGGAAATAAATCCACTTACTTCTCAATCACATTAAAATGAAAATGTTCATAAAAGCTGTTTAATGCTCAAGAAGCCTTCCTGAGCCTTTTTCAAAAGAGCCTTTTGACATTGTTCCATTTTGTGTTTCAAATGCAGAGCTGAGTTTGGGGAGGAATTAACTCTTAAGAGTCCACATGGTTCAAGTAGGGCTGTCAGAAAGCCATACTTAGGAGAAGAAAAGAGTTTTCACAATTGCAGCATTTTTAAGGACTCTCTGGTCAGTGAGGCAACCATGGCCTGGGGGCTTGTGGTTTCTTAAAAGTCTACACAATTTCTCAGCATGGTCTCGGTGCGCTGAGTAGTGCCCCCAAGGCAGAGTAAATTTCTGCTAGGAACATTTTCCAGCACGCTCTTGAAATTGTAGCAAAACTTGGCCTTTTCACTTGCGGAGGGATTTTCAGCTAATCTGTTTTTCAGTCCCATAATCAGCATCACGCAGAATTATTAAACTTGAGGTCTGTGTTTGGTTTTAAGGTCCAACTGGGATATTAGCCACCTCAGAGTCCAAATCCATGCCAGTGTTGGGTTCTGTATCCAGTGTAGCAAAAACAGCCTTGAACAAGAAAACTCTGGAGGCAGAATTCAACAGCCCGTGCGGCCCAGCACCTGAGCCGGGTGACGGGCCGTGTAAATTGGAAGGAGGCACACGTTCCAAGGTTACGTTTCAGTAAGTAATGATGCTCTTTACTAAATGGTGTGTGGAAGAATCTGGGATAACTAACTCGTGGGTTACTCTGCTTTATTTCTCTTTGAAGAGGTTTTGATTTGGCTAGCCAATAAGTATTCTTCCTTCCTTCCTTCCTTCCTTCCTTCCTTCCTTTGCTGAGCCAGCTTTTGATTCCAGGCTCTTAGCTTTGAGGTCTGATTCCCATCCAAAGCAGATATGTGTGAAGGAGTTTCTGCCCCTCTACTGGGTTGGTAATGAGGTTCTTCTTCTGCATGAAGGTTGGCTTGGGTAATAATTATTCAGCATCAGAAGACAATCCATCTTTCAAGATTAAATGCTTACATCATCCCTCTTAATGGTTCCTGAGGAGCTGAAGAAGATACCAGATCTTTCAGAAGAACTAGATCCTCAAACATACTTTGAAGTGTACCTTATTTTCTGGTCCTCACTTAAAGGCGAGCCTTAATATTTCTCTGTCCCGAGAACAAAAACCTACCGTGTGAAGGTTTATCTCTGTAGACTAGCTTGAAAGTGACACTTTGTCACAGAGTTAATCCTGCTATTGAATGTGTTTCCGGCAGAACTAGTGGAGGATCAGTTTGTTTTATAACAATGGCGGGCTCTTTTTTGAAATTAGTCTAGTTTTGCTTTAGTTCCCTTGCCAGAATGTCAGGGGGTTTGTTGCCTGAAGAAAAGGAAGAGGTGAGACAAATCAGATCAGCCGATGGTAATTGTAATCACGGTTAATTAAACCTCTGATTTCCTGTTCTGTCGGGAGAGAAAGAACCCTTCTTTGTGCCTCTACCTGTCTTAGTTTAAAAGGTGAAACCTGGACAAATGAAGTCGAAATTCAATTTAGATCTATTTTTGCCAACTGGTATTTTCTTCCATTCTTGCATTTCTCATTGGTACTATTAACTTTTTTTCCTCCCTCTTTTGGAATGAATGGCCTCCTTTGCTGACTTACAGTTTTATCTAATTCCATTGTGCTTCAAGGCACACTTCCTCCTGCAGTCACGTGCTGCTTTTGACTGCAGTCACTCAAGCAGCCCTGACAGAAAGATGATCTATATTCATCCTTCATCTTTCCTGTTAGATTTGTTTAACATCTAATTGGACGTCAGCAATCGGGCTACACTGGAACCAATATCCAGACACAAAAGCAATTTGGCGGAGACAAGTTGGTTTCCGAGAGATGCTTCACTGTGTGTGTATAGATTTTTTTTTCCCTTTACCATTTTCCACAGATAATCTTAATCAGAAAATACTGCAACTCCTTCTTCCTTTTGTCTGCCTTTTATTCTCCAAAAGTAAGTGGAAATTACATTCCCAAGAAAGGAAATGAAATAATTGCAGGCCCAAGGTCTGCAGAACGTGTTGAATCGACAGTGAAAAGGATCCGTGTGTTGGCAGACACAGTTGTTAGAATCCATAAAGGCCTCCGTGAGGCTTAATTTATTTCTCATCTTGCTTGTTCAATGACTGCTCAAGAGACACATTTCAATTTAATTTATCTACTTAAGGCGCTAATACAAATACTCTGTGCTGCTGTATTAACTTCCCAACTTTGTAACCTAATGCTTGATTATTCCGTTCTTGACATTCTGCAGCTGAAATAGCCAAAGCCATGCGTTTTCACAGAAGAAAGCCATTTAACAAAGAAGAGTGCCTTTCTGAAAAATCGGTTTAAGGACCATTAGACTCTCCAGACGAACCCAAGTATTTTGTGTACGTGCATGGTAACTATTCACTTCATTCGTGGTTCAACCTGGCTTTTCCATGAGGGAAAGGAGTCTAACAGAATTTAGTTGTAGGTAAGCTGTGGAAGTAAAAACTCATGTGATGTACCGGGATTCCCTGAAAGCAGCCTCACTGCCAGGAATGAAAAGGATTGTCTTCAGGACTGTTTCTGACCGTCGCTAACTAGTACGTTTACTCTGTTTCACAAACCGTGAGGTAGGGGCAGACCACATGGTCTTGTCTCCTAGACGTGAATTGTCCAAGCACTTGGAAGTTGGATCAGCAGTTAAAAGTGAGATGTTTCCTTTGCTTTTTAAAACAGTCTTTGCACTCCGGTAATTGCGTCTTTATATTGATCTGTAGAGAGACGACAAAGTGTTTTAGGTGAGTGGCACTGTTGGCTCTTGACAGGGAATCAAGGTCAAGGAGTTAATTACAGTAGCCTCCAGTACTTACATTATCTCACACACACACACACACCCTCCCTTCCTCCCTCCACTCTGGCCTCTCCGCCCAGGTTTGGGTCTATTCTTGCCCTTTACTTGAAATGCTGTACCCTCTGCCCGGAATGTCTTTTCCCCAAGTTATACGACCTCCTGTCTCAACCTCCGCCATTTCTTTGCTCAATGTCATCTTTTAAATGAGGCCCACCCCTACCACCCTATTTAAAATTGTAACTCCAAACTTTGTAAAATCCAAACTTTGGTTCCTCCTTAACCTGCTCCATTTTTTCCCCACAGCAGTTATCTTCCAATATACTATGTGCTTGATGTATTATGCCTAATGCGTATCCTTTCTTTCCCTGCCTGGATGGAAGCTCCACGAGGGTAGGAGTTTTTTGTTTTCTTCCCAGGCATATCTCAAACGCCTGGAAGAAAGTTCTTGCCTTATGGTAGGCTCTCAGTAAATGTTTGTTGAATAAATGAACAGCATGAGTACATTTTTTAGTATCAACAAAACAGCAGAATATCAATTCATTAAAGTACTCGATTACCCAGCATCGCCCATGACTCAGCGGTTACACAGATTCATAAGCCAGATGTTAGAGACTTTCGTCTGTTGGTTTTGGTTGGCTTGTCCGGGTCTTCAAACATTTTTTTAAATGCCCAGGAGTCATTTAGGTCCAGCTCAGTCTTGCACATCTTCTGCATCTTTGTACTGAAACGAGATCAAGTTATCAGAGGCAGCAGAATGCCCCTTTGTAGAACAAGGACTCAGGTATGCTCACCTGATTGGCCTCAGGTAGGCGGGAAAGTTTGCTAATCTACTAAAAAGCATCTTAAAGTAAGAGTAGAAGCAAAGATGTTTTCTGCATAAGATTTCTGCTTAGCCAGAAAATTAGTTACCGTCAAGCTATTCCTAGAAATTTTTTTTTATTTTAATAAGTCCCTAAAATGGACATATATATGTGTATTCCAAATAATTGAGTTAACTCCTGTCTGGTGAATTTAGAGCCAGAGATACAGTCTGTGGATTTATTTCCTCAGGACTTGTGAGAAAGCAGGAGACATCAGTAATAAGTACTTAATTACAAGGATTAATTAAAATGAACATTTACGTCACCAACCTAAGCAAGGCAAGGTGCTTTTTGAAGACAAAGAAGGAAAAGATAATCAGGACTTGGAAAAGCCTAATTGCTTCTGTTTTGATAATAACATTAGAAGTATTTGCGTGCTATTATTTCTAATAACTCTAAACTATCTAGTAACAATTGCTTAAACCGAGCAGTGAATCTGAATTCATTCACCTTGGTGGGTTAGAATTCCGACAAGAATGAAGCTCACAGTCCCCCCCGACGGTCCGAGAGGTGAAGAGCTGGCCCGAGCAGGCGCGCGGCAGAAACCTGGGTTGCTCTCCCGCTCCCTCCCGTGGGCCTAGAGCAGTCCGACAGTCAGAGTGTAGTAAGACTCACTCATTCAAGCTAATCTCAACGGGTGGAGTGCTGAATCTAAAACGGAGCGCATTCCGGATCCTAGAATTTCTTTAAAGGTAACCGTTTTCTTACTTTCGGACAGCTACAGTACCTGGACACAGGCTGGACGTCACACAGGGTCAGAAAAACCAGAATGGTGTGTGTTTCCACCAGTAAAAGCCTGTAGACTGGACAGGGCAGTGACAAGGATGGGCAGTGAGATCCGTGTTCTAAACCCACGCCTGTCCTTAGACGCACAGGGTGGCAAGCAGATGGGGCTATTTCCAGAACCAAATTCTACAGTCAGGTAGCCTAGGTGGGGTTCTGACCTCGGGGTTGCCGTTTAGTGTCTCTGTGACCTTGAGAAAGCTACTTCATCCATGACTCTGTTTCCTAATCTGTACAATGAGGGTAATGATGCCTACCTTGTAGGGTTGTCTTGTAAATTAGATAATCTCTGAAATGTATTTCCACGAACTCCTGTTCCACCTCATGTTAAACTTATAGTGCTGAGCCGGTACTGTGTAATCAGGGACTAAAGCTAGAGTTGGAAGCTTAGGTACTGGACCCCCAGGGTGCTGACTTGGCCAGTTTCCTTGGGGAAGTCACGTGACCTCTCTGTTTTGTTTTTGTGGTGGTTTTTTCTGACCTAAAACTGAGGCATGCACATTAGGTACTCTCCAGGGTCCCTTTCAGCTCTGGAAGCCCCATAATCCCCCACTAATGTGGTTGCTTGGTAAAAAAAAGTGCACAGTTAAGGTAAGGAACAAGAGTTAAGTATATATATGTTCTACCCGCCACACGTCTCTCCATACATTCCAACACACACAAACCCAGAAATGCAAGATACTTGGTTTTTAAATGGCATCATCGGAACGTACAAACCCAAAGCAAAATGACTGCGACCCTTCCGAGTGCTGCTCACTCATTCCGGCCCCGTCACTGGTGCCCCAAATGCCTTTGGCCCCTTTGGATTAGGAATACCTGACCACGGACGGTATGGACGGGGTGAGTGGGTAAAGTGTGGAGTGACTGGGAGCCACTCCGCCGGTTGTAGAACCCCGAGAGCCAGCGTCAGTGTTCACTGTGCTCAAACCGTGACACGGCTCATTTTGACCCCCACTGCGTGTTCAGCGTGGGCATATGTTTCCAAGCGACGTAGGCTTTGGAACGTGGATGCGGTTTTGGGGAATAGCCATGAGTTTTGCTGCCATTGCAGATACATAGTTTTAAATGTGATACAGACACTCGGCATGCCTCCCAAGCACAGGCGCAGAAAAGTACCGTGTGGATTCAGCCAGGTGAAAGTTCCTCGGTACCCTGCCTGATTCTCCTTTTACTCCAGTGG